ATAACGTCATTGCGTAAGAGTACGTTGCGTTGCGCGCGGGAGCTTTGGTTATCCAACAGTGGAGTTTGAGGGAAACAAGTGAGCAGGAAGGTGGAACCTGCAGCTACATCAAAACAATTATTAGCTTTATAGCTTATGATTAGGATACAAAGGTAAGACATAACGTTCAGTATGAGTTAGTGTTGAACTAACGTTAACTCTTGCGGCGGTCCGCTGGCTCAATAACGCTAACCTCCGTGGCTGGAATGCAGAGAACTGATGCGAAAGCGGCGCTAATGCTAATAGGCTAACTTTGAGCTTAAGTAAATGTGTTCAAATGCTAGTAAGACTGCTAAAACTGCTGACGTTATAGAGCGTGGGCCATAACGTTACCGGTTGCTAACCTAACGACTGGGCTTTAACTCTTCACCGAGTAAAATGATTAACGTTAGCAAACGTTTTCTGAAATGTGCTAATGTTAATGAAACTACCGGGGTGTTGCTACAACGTTGTTTAAAAGCGGAGCCACCGCTCGAAGTAAAACAGTTCTACATACATTAACATTATATCAGTAAGTTAGTGAAGACAGGGACTCACTGCTGCTCCCTGTCACTCCCTGTCACAGAGCCTCTCTGTTCTCACTCGGACCATGGCGATGAGGAGCGAGGCCCGGGTGCAGGCTGAGGTAGAGGAGGAGGAAAACTTCGGCCCGCAGCCTCTGTGCAGACTGGAGGTATGTACCCTGAACGCAGCCTGTTCCTTATTAGAAACACTGAATTCTCCTCCTCAGTAGAAACAAGACCCCCTGTTTTCTGTATGAGTGGGGGCTTTATTTGTTGGGGGTAATACTTGTAAGATATGGTAGTTAGAAACATGCCATGATGGCCTTCCTTTGGTCCTAAAGATCCAAAGGCATTACTGTAACAGATGAAGCCAGCAGTGTTCTGGGTTCCAGGTGGTAAACAGGCGGACGGCCCTGGCTTCTCCCAACTTCAAATGTAACCACTGTCTTTGGTTTAAGGATTCCGGCAGGACTGATCCTGAATTTCTGCTCCGATGTATTTTGTTCTAATGTGCAGCAATGTGGAATCAGTGCCAGCGACATCAAGAAGCTGGAGGACGCAGGTTTCCACACCATCGAGGCGGTGGCCTACGCGCCCAAGAAGGAGCTGCTCAACATCAAGGGCATCAGTGAGGCCAAAGCGGACAAAGTTCTGGTAGGAAACAGTCATGTATGAGTTCTGACTGCACTGTCCTGATGCAGCGTTTTCCCTTAGAGGCCCAGCAGGAAGGTTAATGTGATATTTGAGATATAATATTGCTAGTGTTTTTATTTTTGTAACACATTTATTTGTTTATTTACAGCTGCCACTTCTCCAGAACCACCCAGGAAAATCATCTTCTGATTAAGTCTGACAAACATGCAGTTGTTACTGTGATTTCAGTCATGTTAATATCGTGCTGTGTGCTTTTCAGTAGATGTTTCTCTTTTCTGCTCTCACAGTAATGCCATGCAAATTCACAACTGCGTCTCTGTGGTGTACAACAGGAAATACACACATACTAAAACTTAATTTGATTTCCATTTGGAAGTTTTCACAATAACAGGGTGTCTTTAGGGTCTTAGAACATCTCAAATCCAATCATCTAAATTGTAGGCCTTAAAATTTCTTCAATACGATTTTGACAGCTCTTAAAATGTAAAATTTGATTAATAAAAGTTATAGTTGCATTTTTCAGTCTCTGTTTAAATGTGTTTTGGAGAAAAGAATTGCATAACTTCATATCCTTGAAACTCTGTTGCCAGTACGGATGTAGAGTAGGTCTTAAATTGTGGTCATAATGCTCTTAAAAAGGTATTCAGTCTCAAATTTGACCCGTTGAAACCTGCAGAAACCCTGTACCACCCTGTTTGTGTACCCTGCGTTTCATTCAGAGGCAGCTCAACTGCTGTTTGGATTTTGTGAAACTGAGAGTCTGAATGATCGTAGTGGTCTGTGGAACAGTTAGTGGTATATGTTGACTTCCTCTTCAGGCCTGTAGGTTAAAAGTTTAAAAATGGTTTACAACATCAGCTAATGCTCCTGGGATATGATCTGACCTTACTGAAGACAATGTATCTGAAAGCACTTTAAGAGAACATGGCTGATTCTGTTTTTAAGGTAGCTCCTGTCTTTATTTATTCCCTTTCATTTGTCCTTCCCTCTCAGGCTGAAGCTGCCAAACTGGTGCCCATGGGTTTCACCACGGCTACCGAGTTCCACCAGAGGAGAGCAGAGATCATCCAGGTCTCTACAGGCTCCAAGGAGCTCGACAAACTCCTGCAGGGTTCGTAACATCTGGACTTGTTCCTCACCCAGAAATTCCAGACGCAGTGAAAATGTAGTTATGACAAAAAGTTGTTTTTATAAAGGTTACTTACTGCAGCTTTAAATGGTGGCCACCATCCACCACTCACCAGGCCAACCAGTGCTCCAAGGTCCTGTTCTCTGATGGCCGCGCCCCAGTGAACCGCGATGATAGTCTGACTGAAGTGATACGATGGTGATGTGACCTGCGCTTTCTCCTGCAGGTGGCATTGAGACCGGCTCCATCACAGAGATGTTTGGAGAGTTTCGGACAGGGAAGACCCAGCTGTGCCACACTCTGGCTGTCACCTGTCAGGTAGAGTCCAGACTGAGGGGTTGTACAATGTCATATGATCCTCTGTTTGTAGTTCACACTGTTGTCTTGATAAAATGCATCAGTTTTAGGTCATAAGCACCTGTAACAATCTAAAGACAGACAGGAAATAAGATTTCATCTCCTGGTATACAGAGTAAAGTTCCATATTGTTAATAATGACATTATGGAGATTAGAAAGAGCAGGGTTTTTCTCCGACCATGGCCTGAGTGACTCGTAGCCCTGTTTTCCTTTAAGTGCACTTTTTGTTGACAGGGCTCACAAGTCCATTTTATTTCTTGTTTTTTGGTTGTGTGGTTTTATTGATCTTTTATTTATCAAGGATATTTTTATATGTTTTTACATTCCAATGTCTGCATATTTTTCCGAATTAAAAGTCTGTTGCTCTTTAAAATGACAAAAATACTATTTATTGCAATTATTTCTGGGAAATGTATTGTTTATAAAGTGCACAATGATCACACAGGATCAGGGTCATGTGACTTGTTTACTACACTCAGTGGCTTTGTATGTTCACAGCTGCCCATCGATCAGGGGGGCGGAGAAGGTAAAGCCATGTACATCGACACAGAGGGAACCTTCAGACCAGAGAGACTCCTCGCAGTTGCTGAGAGGTGAGTCAGCATGTTTTCTTAATAGTACTTTAATTATTTGATTATTTCATCACTTTTCTGTTCCTGTTTGCAGTTCTTGTTTGTCCCCTCCCCTCTTAACGTGGAACAAGTCCATTTGTATAAGTTGCCTAATCAACTTGTTTATGCTACCATTTATTAAGTGGTAATTAAAAATAATAGATTGTAGAGGAAAAGCTCATCCCCCTAACTCAATGTAGTTCATTTGCTGAATATAATTTCATTAGAAATTGCCATTACTCAAAAAGACTGATGCAAACTGTTGCGTTCATTTTTTGGTTGAGCCAAACATTGGTTGTGTGCCAGGCCGTCATTGTAAATAAGAAAATGTTCTCAAGGTCTTACCTGGTAAGATAAAGGTAAAATAAATAAATAAAACACAGAGCCACATTCTGTATGGCTGTAACATGTTGTTTGTAGGAAACTGTTCCTTGGATTGAAAATGTATATGAAAATGAAAACCCACAGGTAATGCGCTAGTAAAGTGAAGGCATATAGAAACTCGCTATGATGTACAAACTATGCCCCAGTGTCGGCTGTGTCACAGATCGTCCTCCTGTCTCTGTGTAGAAGTGGGAAACTTGACGTGACCTCTCTCTGCTGTCAGGTACGGGCTGGTAGGCAGTGATGTTCTGGACAACGTGGCCTACGCCCGAGCCTTCAACACGGACCATCAGACCCAGCTGCTGTACCAAGCCTCTGCCATGATGGCTGAGTCCAGGTCAGTCACTAACCTGTCCTCCTGATCCTGGTTCTGCCAAGTTGGACATTACAAACAGTTGATCTTAACCCACCTTTATCCCTGAATGCAGAGCTGTAGCTGGGCAGTGAGCACCAATGATGGTGTTCTGGCAGGGTTCACACCTGGAAACACCTGGAAATTTAGAGACTAGTTTTCCAACCATGGAAACACCAGGAAATGGGTTTAAATCATCAAATATCCTAGAATTGTGTTATCCTGTAAAATGCCTACATTAACCGTAGGCACATGTGTGGTGTTAGGCTTCAAAGGACGAAGAAGCTGAACGGAAGAACATTTTAAACGCTCTCTTTTCATTGTGGCCATGTCGGTCAATGTAGCTGTTCACACAGACGCCGAGTGGATCGGACTTACAGCGATCTTTTCACCGTCGCAATGAAGCTGACACACTTCATCATTAAAAAAGTCAACACCAGGTCTACTGGTAAATAATATGATGGAAAATGATTTCTTAAAAGTAGTGTGAACCCTTTCTGGAAACAAATCCCCAGAGCTGTAAAGGAGCAGTCTCATCCCTCTCCTGCCTTCTGTCGCTGTACAAGCAGCAACGTCTGAGTTATTGAGTGAGGTACACAGTACAAACAGGGCCTCCCATCGTCACTGTATCAAAATCCATTCCTCATTCTTCATAAGTGTGTTGAGGTCGCCTCAGTGGGCTGTTGAGATGGACTGATCAGGGACAGAGTCTTTGTTCCTTCACACTGAAACCAACTGGTTTCATCTAGAACTGTGGGGAGAAGAGCTGTACAATTTTGGGGAACTCATTTAGGGTTACTATGGCACATATCAAGATATCTTTAAATGCATTTTCTATACTTTTTCCAAAGAGTAAAGGTCATTGTACAAGATTTAACATACAATAGAAAAATAAAAATTAGCTGATACAAATCAAACGGGGTAGCACTTTCTAATCACAGCAACAGCAGAAATGTTTGAGCTTGTTTCAGACAACAGTGTGAGCCACTGTACTTTTCCATGTGTCCCTGTATCAGCATGATGATTGTGTTCAGTGACAGCACTGTCCAGGCTGTAGTGTGTATCCCTGCAGTTAACACACACACTGTCTCTCACTGTGTGTCAGGTACGCTCTGCTGATAGTGGACAGTGCCACAGCTCTGTACAGAACAGACTACTCTGGCAGAGGCGAGCTGTCGGCCAGACAGGGACACCTGGGACGTTTCCTCCGCATGCTGCTCCGGCTGGCGGACGAGGTAGGCAGCTGAACGTCTATTCACTCTGAATCTAGTGCTGCATGTTAACCTCAGGGTTCAAACTGAGTTCTGTTGTCTCAATCCTATGCACCAACAGTTTGGCGTTGCCGTAGTGATAACCAACCAGGTGGTAGCACAGGTGGATGGGGCTGCCATGTTTTCTGCAGATCCCAAGAAACCAATCGGAGGCAACATTATGGCTCACGCCTCAACCACACGGTGAGTGACTTTATTACCCCTCCTGCGCGCCGCTGGGACAGAGGCGTTATGTTTTGGGGTATTTGCTCAAAGATGATTTTCATCTATTCTTGTGAATGCAATACGAACACCTCAAGGGAATTTCTTCAAATATTGCTCAAACGTCCAGTTGGACTTGAGGATAACCTGATTAGATTTTGGAGGTCAGAGGTCACTGTGACATAAAAGAAATTGGCCTTAACTCAAGAATTGATGCAGTCTATGATAAAACAGATGCTTAATGAGATACAGTGATGAAGTGATGTTTAAGCCCAAAGGTCAACTTCACTGTGACATAATGTCCTTTTTTGACCTTTGACCTTCAGTCTGTACCTGAGGAAAGGCAGAGGAGAGACGAGGATCTGTAAAATCTACGACTCGCCCTGCCTGCCGGAGGCCGAAGCCATGTTTGCCATTAACGCCGATGGAGTGGGTGACGCCAAGGACTAAGACAACTGTGTTGTGTTTGTGTGGTCTTGACCCGTACTACTGCCCTCACACAAAGCCTCAGACTGATGGGTGAGAGAGAGTCAAAGGTCCTGGGTTGTGTGATTTGGTTTGATGCTGATTGAGACAGAGTGGATAAGATGGTCCAGGCTGGAGCTCAGTGGTGCCACAGCAGACAGAGTGCTCATTCATACTGACGCTCATTGCACTCAACAGAGGAAAGTTGTGACATAGAATCTCATTATTACAGTACCTGTTCTATTATGAGACTACTTCATAGTTATTTTTTGTAATTATAACTTCTCATAATACTGAGAGCTTCATCACATCAAGATCCCAAATATCATCATTTACACTAAAGTCCCGCCCCTTTTTGCTCAGTGCTCCAATAAGAGTTGAGCAAGCTTCGGTCAACTTCTCCTTTCCTGTACTTAGATATGCTATGTGCTAGGCTAATCTACCGCATTTTGAAGATGGTTAGAAGATAAGTGGCATAGTGGCTTATTAGTTAGCTAATCTACATCAATGGTTACATAGGGACTTGCCAGCTAACTACAAAGCTAACAGTTGATGTAGATTAGCAAGATAGTTAGCTAGTGTTTGGCTAACTTGAGATGTGACTAATATATATACATATATATATATATATATGTCACTTTTATTCTAACATTCTTTAAAATGTACTTGTCTTTTTAACAAAGATTAGCCTAGCACATAGCAAATCTAAGAACAGGAAAGGAGGAAGCTGACCGAGGTTCCAAAAAGGATGGGACTTAGGGTGAGTCATGAAAAAATCTCATTAAAATGAAACATTTCTTACAAGATCTGTATCTCATAACTTAAAAAAATGTCATCATATCGCAACTTCTTAATCGCACCATTATTAGATCTTTACTGTTTGATTACAAAAACCCAGAAAAACGAAAGATCTCCTAATTCAGATGCTAACTCATATTTAGAGATTAGGTCTCCATCTTTTTTCTTTGTTGAATACAATGTGCCTGTAGTTTCAAAGCAAAAAAATATTTTGTAAAAACTATTTTAAATAGTTTGAGATCTTTTTTTTTCTTGTCTTTGTTGTTTTGGATGTGACAGTGAAATGTTTTGTGAGAATGTGGTTGAAATGCATTATTTAACAATGACGGCATAACTACAAAGCCATATTTTATATACCATAGTTTCTCAGATTACTAGAAAGCAATGTTTTCATCTGTTGCCTTCTACACTACTACTGGTATGTCCCTTTTCTGTTTGTTTTCCAGAACCTTCTGTATATAAGCTTTATAGCTAAATTAAAATTTGTTTTACCATTAAATTGACATTGTCATCATTTGGTTGTTAAAGACATTCAACCACAAATTGCATATAAATACAAAAAAATAATTTTATTCAGTTATCCATGTGTCAGTTTACAACAGCAGTGACTGCAAAATAAGAATAAAGGAATAGAAAGTGTCGTTAGATCACAAATAACCTGCTGACATCCTGCAGCTTTACTCTCACTCCCAGAAAATAGCAGGAATGTAAAAACACACTCAAAGTCCACAATCGGAACAATCGGGGTCCAAAACACAGGGATACTCTGCAGTCCCAACCCAACACAAGGCTTCATGCACTGTCCTTTACGTCAGTGGTTGCAGAGGTTCCGTGTGTGTGTGTGTGTGTGTGTGTGTGTGTGTGTAAATACTTCAATCTTACCACTACATCTACATGGTCATTTATCTCCACAAAACAAGAGCAACCCAGCAGAACAGTCAGAGTAAAGGGTATACAACACAAACTAGAACTAATAACTGAGATTAGATAGCTGTTTTTGTTGAAGTGATTTCCAAAGTCCTGTTTTACCTAAAGCTTTTAAAACATCCCTGATCGCACCGGACTACCAGCTCCGATTCCATTTCTTGGTTAGTGGATAATTGGTCACTGTCAGTTGCATTGCTAGTAGATTTTCAGACATGTTCCACTACCACCCTAAACTGAAATCATTCTCAAACAGCATATTGACTGCGTGGAAGCAGCTGTTACTCCTTATTGGTCCCCATATTGGAACCTCAGACTCAGTCATCTCTTACAAAATCTAAACTAAAAAGAAAGGTTGAACCACCCAAATAACATATCCAGTATCTAGCCATGTATATCTGTCTCTTGACTAGATACAGCGAGAGGGAAGTGTGTGTTTTGTAATTTGGGTGAATCCTGATCCTGAAACTCTTAAATAAGATGATTGTACTTAAAAGCAAAACCTAGTTGTGTTTAAATCAGATAAAAGACAAACCAATAGTTAAAAAACATTAAAGATACCATATATAATTCAATAAATATGACTCAATGATACTGACTCAATTTAGCCATATTAAAGTTTGCAGGAAATAAATAAACATCAATGAACTCCAGATCATTTCACAGTCACAATATGACAAAGATATCCACCAATAAAGGGAAAGGAGATGAGCGTGCAGTTTGTTGGGCACATCTGATCGAATGAGCACGGATTGGCGGCGTGACTAGCAAATCGGTGTGGAGTGGCTCCATCTGCTGGATCTCAGTAGGAAAAACAAGTGTTCAGATTTTTCTGTCAGTTAAGACTTGAAGCTGAGCCAGCAGTTTAGAGGTTTCTTCATCCTTGGAAATGAAGAAAAGGCAACAAAGGAAGGTGTTACGTGCACTTCAAGAGCAGACATTTTAGTTACAGTCTAATTTTAGTAAACCAAGTATAACATTTTAGTCAACCAAAAAGGGTTCATGAGGTTAGTTAGAGTCATGTTTTATTTAAATATCTCTTTAGAATTGCCAAACTCATTATATGGCATTCCCACCCCACACTGGTCTCAAGTCTGTAAATTCTTATGTGGCTCGTTTGCTCTCATTGTAATGTGCAGCTCTAAGCTCTGTACTCAGCTGTCAATGCTTTACATTTTTTGGTGAGTTCAAACAGGGCGAGTGTGTGCTCTTACATCGTTAGTGTTTGAGGGCATCTTCAGAGCCAGCTCAGTCCAGTTCGTGGCCTCAGAGATGTTTCCCAGGTCCTTGTGACACTACAAGTCAAACAACGTAATGGTTAGCGTTTACAGTCCGTACAATCACAATGTTGCCTTTAACCCAGTGGTTCGGAGCATTATTTAAATATTAAATGTGGGATCAGTGGGTGTGATGGCGTACCTTTGCGATGTAAAGCCTCACTGTCTTGGAAAAGCCAGGACTGAGCTCCTCTGCCTAAAGTTCATAGAGCACAAAGATTTCACATGAGAAACACTCTGCATGTCTATGCAGAAAATCAAGGCAAAATCAAAGGTCTGATGAAGGTGAACACCCTCGGAACGCAAAACCAAGTTTCTTTAATCCCACAAAAAAGCGTTATGGGACAGCAAGTGACAAGGGACAGACCACCAGCACCGTTTTAACCGGAATTTAAAAGCCTGACCAGGGCTGCTAATTAGCTTCAGCTAACATCTGTTGCATTTCTTCTCCTTATGTAACAATGTTTATCTGTATACCCCACCGTGAAATAAACAAGCAAATAAATGGGAGGGGTCAAAAAAACATATTCAATTGAAGGTAAAATATGCCTGGAAACTTTCTAGTGATTTGCCAAAAAACTGACAAAGACAATGTGATGCAATAAGTTTAGTGTGTAGTCCGGCAATGGATGAATGTCTACAGAGCGCTGCACTGCTGTATTCTTGTAGTCCAACCCAGTTAACATCTGTCTGGATTGTTACAGTGGTTTTTGGATTGTTGCAGAAAATAAGCTCTGTGGCGATCAAAGGTTTATGATACATTTTGTTCAGCACGATAACGCACACATTGAACACCACTTGTGGCTCAGAGGCAGAGCAGGTTGTCCCCTAATCGGAAGGTTGTTGTTTCGCTCCCCGGCTCCGGTATCCTTGAGCAAGATACTGAACCCCAAATTGCTCCTGATGTGCATCGGTGTGTGAATGTGTATGAATGAGGTAGATTCTGTTTGATGGACTTTGCCATCACTGAGTGTGTGTGAAAGGGTGAATGTGCCATGTAGTGTAAAAGCACTTTGAGTGGTCGGAAGACTAGAAAGGCGCTATACAAGTACAGGTCCATTTACCATTTACTTTTTTGAAGCAAAAATTCCGCTGGGGTAAAAAGATAATGGTGGGCTATAAACCAACTACACCACAGTCACATGACTTCAACGTCACCACCACTAAACTTCCAAGGAGTATAAACACAATGAGGCTGTAAAGGCAGACTAGTGAGTAGATAAGTTCTTTATACATTCATAGTATCACACAGACAGCGAGCTACCAGCTAGGGATTTATAGTCCCAACTTCAGACCCAGAAACGTCCCAAACACATTAAAATAAGAAAATATATAAAGACACAGTCACACACTTCCAGTGGCTTATAAGTGATGACTGAGAGGAATTATGTTTGTTTGAGTTTCTGCATTCTTCTCTTTTTTTTTAGGAAAGTCCTGCATACAATGCCTTTCACATGCACAATTAGAGTGACTCAGCAGAAATCCTCTACAGCTGGCTGGTACCTTGAGGAAGTTCTCGAGGGCGTCATGCAGTGTGGAGGTGGGGGGGTTCTGGTAGAGGGCAGCAGCCGCCTTCCTTTCCAGCCAGTCCAGAGTGGCTACCTGCAGAGACACAGACACACTACTGTCACAAAAACCGCAAACTCCCTGGGACAGTCTTGAATTAAGTACTTAGAGTGTCCACAGTATTGATATTTGTTTGGATGATGACGTCTGCAACCGTCTTACCTCGTAGCACCACCTGCCGAGCAAGTAGTAACACATGGGGTCATCGTCTCTGAGGGCCAGTGCACAGTCCAAATGCTCCTGTGGAGAAATACACTCATATGTCATATGCTGTACACAACTATAATAATAAAATAAATGTTGGCTAAATACAAAATATGTGGACATATACTAGTTGTGCCTGTGTTACCTTTAATATGTGGCTGCTCTTCAGTTTGCTATGCATGCTCTCATGCTGGGAGGTCAGTCCTGTCAGCACAGCAAACCTGGAGACAAAAACAGTTTGTCATCAACATCTTAAAAAGCCCACTCTTGACCCAGGGGTTTTAGCCAACTATAGACCAATCTCTAACCTCCCCTTCCTCTCTAAGATTCTGGAGAAAGTAGTCAGCAAAGAGTTGTGTGACTTTCTACATAACAATAGTTTATTTGAGGATTTTCAGTCAGGATTTAGAGTTCATCACAGCACAGAGACAGCTCTGGTTAAAGTTAATAATGACCTTCTGACTGCTTCTGACAATGGACTTGTCTCTGTACTTGTATTATTAGATCTTAGTGCTGCATTTGACACCATTGACCATAATATTCTTTTACAGTGACTTGAGCATCAAATTGGCATTAAAGGAACCGCACTAAGCTGGTTTAAGTCATATTTATCAGATCGCTCGCAGTTTGTACATGTTAACGATGAATCTTCAATAAATACTACAGTTAGTCATGGAGTTCCACAAGGTTCTGTACTTGGACCAATACTATTTACTTTATATATGCTCCCTTTAGGCAACATTATTAGGAATCACTCCATTAACTTTCACTGTTATGCAGATGATACACAGCTATATCCATCGATCAAGCCTGATGAAATTAATCAATTATCTAAATGTCTTAAGGACATGTTTGTAATGTTTTGCAATTTTTTTATGTTAAACTCATTAAAAAATGAAATTCTTGTACTTGGCCCCAAAAACCTTAGAGACTCACTGTCTAAAGATATAGTTACTCTAGATGGCATTACCTTGGCCTCTAGCACCACTGTCAGGAATCTTGGAGTTATCTTTGATCAGGATTTATTTAATTCCCACATAAAGCAGACCTCTAGGACTGCCTTCTTTCATTTACGTAATATTACAAAAAATAGACACATCCTATCACAGACAGATGCAGAAAAACTAATCCATGCATTTGTTACTTCAAGGCTGGATTACTGCAACTCTTTATTATCAGGTTGCCCCAATAAGTCCATTAAAACGCTCCAATTAATTCAGAACGCTGCAGCACGAGTACTGACAGGAACTAGAAAAAGAGATCACATCTCTCCTGTACTAGCTTCTCTGCACTGGCTCCCTGTAAAATGTAGAATAGAATTTAAAATCCTCCTCCTCACCTACAAAGCTCTTCATGGTCAGGCCCCTTCATATCTTAAAGAGCTCATAGTACCCTATTACCCCACTAGAACACTGCGTTCTCTGAATGCTGGACTACTTGTGGTTCCTATAGTCTCTAAAAGTAGAACAGGAGCCAGAGCCTTCAGTTACCAAGCTCCTCTCCTGTGGAACCAGCTTCCAGTTGTGATTCGGGAGGCAGACACCCTCACCACATTCAAGAGTAGGCTTAAGACATTCCTCTTTGATAAAGCTTATAGTTAGGGCTGGATCAGGTGAGTCCTGAACCATCCCTTAGTTATGCTGCTATAGGCCTAGACTATCGGGGGATTTCCCATGGTGCACTGAGCTCCTCTCTTCCTCTCTCTCTCTCTCTCTCTCTCTCTCTCTCTCTTTTCTTTCTGCACTCATTCATGTTCCATTAATTCATGTTCCATTAATGCATGTTACTAACTTCACTTCTTCCCCAGAGTTCTTGTGCTTTCTCATCTCGCAGGTTCTCATGGATCCTGGTGGAGCATCATGCCATGGTCCTGCTTGACTGCCATTGCCAATATCACTGATATTAGTGTTATTATTAGGGCAAGCGACCGCTGGAGGTCCCTATTGTTTTTGCTTCGTTTCTTCTTACCTATTATTATTATTTTTAGCACTTTTGATTGCGTTTTTGCCCCCCTGAACATATACAAAAAGTCAATTTTATTGGCAAAGTTGTCAGGCCTGGTGAAAAATTTGATATTCTATGCGTTGCTTTCCGGTTGTCCACTAGGTGGCGCTACTATCATAAAAAATGCGTTAAGCTAATAACTTCTGTATAGTTTGTCACACATTCACAAACCTTGTATCCACGCGTTCAGTGAATGGAGCTGAATCTCCCCATATAGGCCACGCCCACTTCCGCCTATAATTTTTCTCCGCTAGAGCGCGAAATGTCCATAAACTACTTTTCCGTGTTCCCCCATGCGCTTTGTCCGATTCACACAAAATGTTTCACGTAGCATCTGAGGACCCTCATAATAAAAAAGTGATTAAAAGAATTTTGATATTTCAAAAAACCAGCACGTTATAAAATTAGCACTTCCTGTGGATTTTTCGTCAAAAAAGGAAGTGGACCATTTCTCCACACTGGTATGTCCAATTGACACCAAACTTGGGTCCATAGTTCCACATGTCTTTCTTAGGCATCGTGCACAATTTCAGGCCATCGCCACAAGGTGGCGCTCTTTAAAATGAAGAAGTTTATATCTCTACAACGGTATGTGTGATTACGATGAAACTTGGTACAATGCTTCCCCATGGCTCCCTGAGGCTCACTAAAAATGTGTCAACAATCCACCACTAGGTGGTGGTCTGGTGGCATGGTAAATCACTGTGCGGAGACCGTAATAGTTATGAATATGAAATTCACAGGGCACGAGTAGACAGGTGCCTGTAGCTTACATACCAAAAATCGTGTTTGTCGTGTTTGTAGCGCCTCCTACAGGATAAAAAAACAGCAGCCCTGGCGCCACGTTTCACCAATATGTACGAAACTCGGTAGGCACGTGTAACATGCCGGGACGTACAAAAAAGCCTCTTGGACCCATGCCCCAAACCCCAGAGGAAGTCGGCCATTTTAATTTTAATTTTCACTTTCGTTGTATTGGAACGAACTCCTACTAGGGAATTTATCGGATCTACTTCAAAATTCGTCAGTACAGTCAAAAAATGGTGCTGATTTAAAAAATGTGCTATTTGAGACTGTACGTTGAATTCTGTGGTCATACAAACTGAAAAGTTGAGCTATTTGTGACTGTACATCAAACCACGTGCCAGTGACAACTTGTCGATTTCAGCCGATTCGCCATAAAATAGTGCTCATAACTTCAGTGTGCCATGTACAATCTCCAATAAACTTAATATATTCTGAAACAGTTTTGCTCTGAACACGTCCTCATAACTTCAGTGTACGTGGTCCAATCTCAATGAAACTTCAAGTGTTTGATAACAGTCTCGCCTTGAATATGTCTACATGACAACATTCAGACACAGTGATAGCGCCACCTACTGGCAACAGGAAGTAAGCATGGCGATTTTTTGAGCTGATTTCCGTGAGATTTTCATGTTGTGGTCCGTACGTGTTACGACTGCACGTGACGCGGCCGCAGCACGCCCCGAGTTGCGTGGAGTGCGAGGTCCCGCTCAACGCTGCTTGCAGCTTTAATTATTATTATTATTTTTATTATTATAAGTATTATTATTGCTACGGTACTGTTGTTACTGTTGTCACTGCTCATTGTCCCCCATCGTTGCTGTTGTCATGTTCATCATCATCATCAGCCACTACTATTAGTGTCTGTCTGTCTCTCTGTCTGTCTCTCTCTCCCTCCCTCTCTCCCTCGTCGAGGCAGACGACCACCCACCTAGAGCCGAAGGATCTGTCCTAGGTTTCTGCCTTTTAACAGGCAGTTTTTCCTTGCCCTTGTCTCCAAGGTCTTGCTCATGGTGGTACTGTTGGGTCTCTGTAAATAATGTTATGAAGAGTTCAGTCTAGACCTGCTCTATTTGAAAAGTGTCCTGAGATAACTTCTGTTATGAATTGGCGCTATACAAATAAAATTGAATTGAATTGAATAAAGCCAAATATAAGCTGTAGTTCAGTGTTTGTGGTGTTCATATTACCATTTGTGACACTCAGCATTCAGGCCGTTCTTCTTCAGGGCCAGCTCCGCTTCCTCCCGACCTGCAACACCAGCTCACAGTTCAGTGACAAAAACTCAGTTTGGAGGTGAAAGTCCTCTTTTATTGTCCAACATCTTCTGGTGCTCATGAGTGAGGCAGGAGCTTTCAGTCAGTCAGTCTGCTTCTGTTTTTGTTCGCTATATTCCAAACTCTGACCTACCGTAAACCTTTTTTCATCCTTTTTATTTCAGTGTCTTTAATTAGTTCACTCCATTTTGTGTTATGCTGATATAATGCTCTGTTTGGGATAAAGAGTTACTATAATCATTCTATCAGTGTGTGTGTTAGTGTCCATTACCTTGCTGTGCGTAGGTTTTCTTCTCTTGCTTGTCCTCAGTGGACTCATACATATCGCTGTAAGCCCGAGCCAGTCGCCATAGAAACTCCCTGCTGTCTCCATACTGCGGGCACAGGTTCAGAAAAACACCAGTTAGTGTTCAGAGTAATTCATCTTCCTGTAATCAGTTGGAAGTGAGATTACTGGTTACTGACAATGACAGTGCTGTCAGCAGAAACATGCAGGATGCTGGATGAAGCATTGTGCACCACACTGCATTATGGACTTACTAACTTGGTACCTAATAGGAAAAGAGCTGAATACAAAGACTTTCATAACTTCAAATTAAGTGTAAATATGTGTGTATCAAGCATGTATGCTGTCCTTTGTTGTGTGCTATATGAAGTATATATATATATAAATAACTGTATTGCATTATTATTATTTTTATCTTTATTATTATTATCAGTAGTAGTTAAAGTACTAGTTTACGTCATGTGAGCATAGAGTGTGTCCCTCACCTCTGCTCTGTTGTCCAGCAGCAGGCGGAAGCCTTCTGCCTTTAAACTGGCATCTCCTGTGTGGAGGATGTCACTCTGAGCCAGGAGGAGAGCCAGCTCCCCACTGGGGACTTCAGTCACCAGCTGCAGCCTCCCCTGATCTTCCTCCTCCTCCTCATCCTCCTCCTCTAGCCCCCTGTCCTCCTCCTCCTGGGAGTCTTCCTGGCGGAGGGTGAGGACAGTGGCACAGCTCCTGTCCTCCTCTTCCTCAGACTCCTGTTCAGGTTCCCGCTCGCCCTCCTCTTTGTCCGTGTCCCGATCCGTGTCCCGATCCGTGTAGTCTGACTCAGCGTAGGCCGTTGAGTACCTGGGATACACATGGAGATCAGCACTTTTTTATTTGGTGATTTTAAATGATTCATGATGACTTCTGCTTTAGTTTTCGGTAAATTTAAAATATAAAGAAAATATATTTCCCTCTCTGTCCTCTAGCGGTATCGCTCTATGCAGATAGTTTTGTTATCAGTAGCTTACAGTATCTGTCTTATGGTGTGTTCACACAGAAAGCAAATCAAATGTTTTGCATGAGTAGATTACATACAAAGTCAATGCAAAGACAAATTCTGAAAATATGTGTCTGTTATTGGATTCTAGCTCTCGGTTTTACTTTACTGTGAAACAAGTTAGCATTGCCCTGATCCATTAGAACTCCATTCAGAAACATTTTACAAGTTGTGTGTGTGTGTCATCTTGCAGACAGACCCGACAAAGTATGAATTCAGACTTTTTACAAATCGTCATCATGATGTAGTTATTTCGGCATCATTTTAATCTGTTAAATGTTAAATCCCAGTATATTTTGGACTCATACGACCATAGTATACAAGATTAAAGGGCAAATAATGTGTGTGAACACAAATGATCCAGTGAGTAAACTCACCATAAAATTCACTCACAGCATTGAAAAATTACATTTAATTTCAACATACTGTTAATGTTAAGGACACAAGCTGGGGTCTAATTTTAGTGTCAGAATCCTAACCTGGACAAGTAGGGTTAATAATTACTGAAATGGCTAGATATCACCAAAGGTAAGGTAATAAACCCTTTAACTGTGCTTTACACTCTCTTGGCACCTGATAAGGCTTCAAACTCATGTATCGGTTACTCCAACCAGCCTTCCTGGATTGGATTTCATCGTCTCCCCAGTACCTGAAACATGCCTACACCAACACAGTCCCTCGCATTTTTTCAGCATAGTGCAATTTTTGTTTTAAACACCCAGTAGGAATAAATGTCAGTCAGTCACTTAGAATTAACCCCACATGGCACTAGTTAACCGTCTGTAACGGTCTTAGAGATTAACACGAATTAGCTGATGAAGCCTATTAGAACTGCCCACAGTTGTATTAAACCTGGACTCAGCCTGACCTGGTCCTGCACAATGTTAGATTACTACTGGACTCATCCAGTGGTAGGTGAATTTCGTATGTATGCCCTTTAAAGCTGCACTGATCAATATTTTTAAAGTGGCAATAGATCAAATGACAATGAAATAGAGCAACAATTCATTACCGCAGCTATAAAAAAAAACGAACTGCTCATCAATCATGTACATTATGTAGAGATGGGGCCACCAGAAACACAATATAAACACTATGCACATACACATACAACATATCACACATAACAAGCCAGCGTACTGCTTTTTAACAAAACAAGACATACCCTCCTTCGCTGGTCTCTTCATACGTGCTGGCCATGCCCTGGCTGGCAGTAAAGTAGATGGAGCTGGAGCTATTGGAGTCTGTGCGCTCCCTGTGGGCGACGTGGCGCCGTCGACGCACCCGCTGACTGTCCTCCACTCCCTTTCTGGAGGAGGAACACGCATTTGACAAACAACACCAGCAATCTCCCACTCCTAACCACCAGAAAAACTTTAAAAACACACTGAATAGGAACATAACCTTTTGAGGCTCAGTGTTCCCTTCAAAATCAATAACCCGACCGTGGACTACTGCTTGGGTCCACAGGGGGTGCCAGAACCAACACAAAATGAAAGTTCCCTGTAGGGGCTTTAAAGATATATTATGCCTTTATTGATTGACATACGATTGATTCTGTTGTAATGGCCATCCAAAAAATGACTATCTGGTATCATCCAGTAGGGCAGCTGCTGTACAGCTCACCACACTCTCACTCACTTGACATCCTGGATGATCTGCAGGGCGATGTCCTGCAGGCCGCCCCTCAGCTCGGCCACCTCTGATCGCAGCGAGGACACGCAGTTCAGCACCTGGTCCAGCTGGTTCCTGAGCTCCAGCTGCTGCTCTGGGGACAGGCCCTGAACCACCGCCTCCACCGCTGCCAGAGCCTGCTGCTGGGCCTCTGCCTCTGGAGGAGACAGGGACACAGAACACCTGGGTTTGGACTTGTTTGCAATTTAGTCAATCTAATCTAATCAATATCAATAAAGTGTAGTCCAATCCCTAACATTTCTTCCACTCTCCAGACATCAATATCGATCCATCCATTTGACTATGTCCCCCTGCTTATCCAGGTTGCTGTGGCAGCAGTCTTTGAAAGGTAGCCCAAACCTTCTCCCTACCTACCCTACACAGCTCCTTCAACTTGCAATGCTAGGTAAGGTCATGACTCCAGGCCTTTTACTTAATTCTTATTTCTTATTTCTATACAACAAGCCTCAAAACAAACAAATCAAACCAAATCCAGGGATTGTGGTATGACATGTCCTGTTATTTACCAGTTAAATGCAATCTAATCTAACTCAAACAGTGTACATATAGAACACACAATCTCTGTGTACTGGTATTTTCTTGTATTCATCTACTTATTGCATTGTTGTTAATGAATAATACTTTTATGAGATGTATTCTTAATGACTTGTATTTTTTTCCTTTTTTTAAAGATTGTGTTTGTTGTTTTCAAATTATTAACGCTTTGACAATCATTGTTTCTACCATTCATGCCAATAAAACATTACACTGAAACTGATTACTATCATCTGCAGTTGGACCTAACTGCAATGCATTTACCTCTCATGTGGTACACATGACCCATCATCATAACTGACAAGTTTCAAACCCATGAAAAAGTACATTTGATAGAGGGAAGGGAACCAATCATCTCTCTCTCTCTCTCTCTCTCTCTCTCTTTAACTCTCACATACATACACACACACACACACACAAACATCTCCCCAACAGGCTGCTGACAGTGCCAGGCAGAGCAGACCCACCCTGTGCATCCAGCGTGTCCCGCAGCAGCGTTGCTCCGTCCGCCCCGTCACACAGCCGGGGAGCTGGCCGGGCCTCCAGCGCCACTCTCTGGCTCTTTCTCCGGCTGATCTCTCTGTAAATTATGAAGGCAATCAAGCCCAAACCGGCCGTAGCTCCGACAGCAAGCCCGATTAACCCGTTCCTTCCGAGCGGTGCGTTCATTTCTCCACACTCCGCACACGCAGGTCGTTTATAAAAAACGGTATTAGCGTTAACGTCAATTACTTGGAAATGCCACTTTCACATGTCAGCCGCCATGGCTGCCCGTATCTGAGGATGACAACACGACCCGAGCCTCTTCACGTAAATGCTCTCCGTTCTCAAACAACACGGGGTTCGCTCACTGCTAGCACGTTAGCCTAATGGCATTAGCCTGTCGCTGTTACGGCGTTGACTGGCTAATAACAGTGACGACTTTTTAAGCTAAAAGCTTGACGCAAATGTTAAAAATGTCCTCTCAGACCACCTAGGGGTATATATTTCACCGACACTCAAAACGAGTCCGCTTACTTGATATGAAGAAGTGAAAGTGATAGTAGGCTAGCAGCAGTGATGCTATGAAATATACAACGCAACACCTCATCAGCACCACCTATGTCAACGAGGCTAGCGCGTGGGGACACAACTTCCGGTTTCACTTTACAAAATAAAAGGTGAGAGCTGGTATGGAAACCCATAGACTATACATATCTATGTGGAAACCCATTTCCGGCAAGAATATAAAATATATACACCGTTACAAAAAGTTAGGCATTATAACAATAAAGGTACTAATGAATGTCTGAATTAGGAAATACTCAGTCACAAATATAAGATAATATGCCAAATGTATAAGAGCAAATCAAACGTCTGACTGACTAAATCCAAGGTAGGTACATTTATTATGATATACTAAACCAAAATTATGAGTTACTAAATTAAAAAAATGACTTTCCAAGTCAAGTGCATGTATTATGAAATATTGAATCACAATAACAAGATAGTATGTAAAAGTTTTAACAATTTTTGACAGGCCCCAAATGCTCCAGAAACATGAGGTCAAGGAAATATGTGAAGGAGCATTCATAGGACAACCACAGTGCTAATACAATCCAACTGCACTCACACCAGGCTTTTATTTTGGAAGAAAAGTGCAGTTCCAAACTCAATTTCCCGTCAAAAACAGAATCCCACCTCCTGTTTTATAATTTATACCCAGGGTACATTTAACCACACATAGGCAGTAATAACAAATTCCACAATGGGGGGATTTAGCAAAACAACCTTTATGTAAATAATATTTTGTTATGGTGATGATATCATTAACTAGAAAGTCAATAGGCTTGTTCTTCAAAGTCCAAAACTGGATAGATGTGTTTAAGAGGAAATCTTTATTTACAGATTTCCACAAGTTTTGGATGGTGTCATGAGGATGAAACATGAACTCATTTGGTGAAGGATGGTCCAGCGTATCCTCTGCTCAAGGAGATAAGAAAGGAAGCATTGAGCACCTTTCCTTTAGAGAATTCAAACAGCTCTTAAAATGGCTGCCACTTCCTAAACTACAAAGACTATTTGAGTCTCTTTCTTATGCAGTTGCAAAATCGTGCTTTTATACCTTTAATGTTGTTGACATTATGCTTACATGGTGCATGTTCTTGGTATATTCATGGGGCAGCAAAAACGTTTGAAAAGTCTCTGCAATGGAATAAGCTTGCATGTAAAGAGGAACATTTTATGAAGGTCAGTAACCAGTTATCTTCTTTCTGTATCACAGTGTCTAAAAGGTTGTTTCATTGTGTCAGAATGCATAAGTTAATATATTGTCAGTCGACACATTATTGTTGGAATACAGAGCAAGAAAAATAACTCACAGCTATCTAAATATTAGATACACTTGGCAGTAACTACCACACAATCAATCAAGTGCTCTTTTCATGTGAAAATTATCATTGGGGGATTTGTGTGAAATCTGTTGACCTCATTTATCCTGTGCTTTCCTATAATACCACCCTCACAAATACACCCAATACACTCTTTTCCTCTTTTCTTTTGGTGATTTTTTTTCATATTTGTATTCATTCATATTATGGGATACTGTTCTTTCATATAATGAGAAGTTACAGGTAAGGAAACGTGCTAGGAGGGCTCCCATAATGCATGGGAGTGGCCTGGAACCTGTGCTAAGCCACATTTCCCCTGTGAACCTGACCCAGATATGCAAGATAGACAATGGATGAAACTCTGTTTGTTTCTTTTTGCTGTGGCTAAAGTGTGCCAAGAATGTGTCCGTGGGAAAGAACAATGTCATTCATGAAGAGGTGAAGTCAGCACCTGCAGGGAGGAAATAGAGATGGTACAAAAAGTCAAGATGTGCTACAGGGCTGGTTGTTGGCTCCAAAGACTCACTTTGTGGACTTCAAACTGTACTTCATTTATAATCCTGCTAGAAAAATGTATCCAGTAGATGTTCTGACCAATAAATGGGATTTTTCTGTTTTTCAAATCCCATTACTACTAATGCAGTGTTAAATATGCTATAAAAGACAGAGGACGGAGAGTTCTTAGAATAACGATGGGCAACCCAGAAGTTAGCTCATGTGTCCCTAGCCAGGGTCAAACTCACAAAATACTGGATTTTAGTTTCTTATTTAGATCTTATTTTTGGGACTATTTTTGGGTGGGGACTTGCTTTTGGGTGGCCAGGGACCACATATGACCACAGCACTTTAAAGTCCTCGCTACGACCCAGTAGGTAAGACCTCATGAGAGACTGGGGCCGGGACGGGTCGTGGTCCACAGCTGCTGTCCGTCCTCCTCCGTGTTTTCTCCGCCCTCTCTAGTTTATAAATGAGCCTAACAACATCCAGCCAGTCAGCGGGGATAGCTCATACAGGCGCTGCTGCTTAACGTACGTAACATGGCGGAGAACGGCAGCGAACAGCCGCGGTCCACCCGGTCGTGTTCTCCAGCACCGCAGTAGAAGTGTCCTCTGTTAGCTCGGTCTCTGGGTCCACAGTGAAGGGACACGTTGCTTTGTCTCTACAGGAGGAAACAGTGGAAATGAGCCGCGCGTGAGGAATTCGAGATGCGCCGACACGCGACAGGTAAGAGACAAGTGCAACAGTGCACGCGACCAGCTTCTTCATCCACAGCGGCTGATTAATGGCGGTAAAATGTGTGTTCCATCAACTTATTTCAACAAACGTACAGTTTCGTGGCGTCTTCATCACTTCATACAGGCTGCTGCTCATCGGCCAACTTTTTCTAAGGCGGGGAGGAATTTGCTGGACCGGTTCCTCCAGCGGTCATATAGCAAGGAGTGTTGGAAATTCTTGTCGGGCGTGTTTTCTATGAAAATAATCATTTCCCAAAAACCTTTCAGACGTCCAGGAGCCGGTGCAGGAGTGTGCCCCCTCCCCGCCGCTGCCTGCTGATCATGTGCTCGGCTCTGGAGCTGTGCTGTTCCCTGGTAGCTATGAACCCGCACTGCTCTAACTCTTATACATGCTTTTTTATATACAGCACAGTTAATGTGGCTCATGCTGCATTCATTGGCAAGCTTAGTCAGGAATGGGAAGTTATCTTAACACTTAAGAGGTATTGTATTGTAGTGACAGTGGCTGATAACCTTTCTGGATAAAATATTGACTATAACAGGGGCGGATCTAGATCAGTACTCATGAGGTGTCCAGAGGGTGGCATGGAGACTTTAAAGCTGCAATAGGTAACTTTTTACAAGTAAAACTTTCACTGTATCCTGACAGTAAAAAAAATCAGGTTTATTGTGGAATGAGACTCAACCTCAACTGTCTTAAAGGCCACCAACCAAATGTGTCTTTTTTGGCTCCGATTGGTTGTTTTTGTTAAGGCTCGGTGGATTTTTGCTAATGCCATTAGGAGGAGCCAGAGGAACCTGATTTTTTTTTTTTTTTTTTTGTTTTTTTCCACAGATTATCTGTTTTATGGACTACTGTCAGGATACAGTGAATGTTTCAGCAAATATGACAAAATTATTTTTATGTAACAGCTTTAAGAACTGACAGAAATATATGCTGACTTAACAATCAGATATATCAATATTTCCTTGGAAAAGCCCCCAAATGAAGATATTTGAACTCTAATTATAGTATTGTGGCACAGTAAATATCTTAAGGTGGCATTAGAAATCAATAAATTGTTTTCTTCACGTCATCACTTAATCATTATTCCATGAACGTCTGCTTTTAAACCCATTTTTAAAATGACTCTTAATGTGTTAAATTTGACAGCATCTGACAGCAAACTGGGGTGACCAAGCATTTTCTAGGGGTGCCACCCCTCTAGTTCTGCCCCTGGACAATAATGACATCATTTTTTTAATGTTATACTGGCAAGAGTTAAATGAATTGAATTAAATGCCAGTTCATGTGCTTGACTTAAATGTCCTCAACTTTATTATTTTGCTGGGAACCCTCTACATATTTGTTATCTGTCTGTATAGGTGCTTTTGATCAACATGGTTGCCCTTTGATCGTGTTCCCAGTGGAAGGACAAGCCAAACTGTCCTCAGAACTCAGCAAAGCAGAAGTGGTGGACTTCATAAATTACTTTCTGTGTCTGCACAAGTACGTGGAGTAAGACAGGCTTATTGTATGTGTGTGTGAGTAGAAGACGTACTGATGGTTGGATTGGTCTCTCTCTACAGTAAGAAGCAGGAGAAGGAGAGTTTGGTGTCAGTGGTGGCTGATCTGAGGCATGCCTCGCTTCCTACAACCAGGTTCATCGCTGAGACTCTGCTTCTGCTTGAGGTATTGTCATGTGGATGCTGGCCTTTAGCATGTTTCCAGTGATTGTTCTGAATCTAGCAATCTCACACACCACATGCAGAAAGAGACACCTAGATTTTCGCAGTAACCGGTCAAAGAATGGATGGTCCATCCATGGTCAGGCTACTAATCACGTCAGTTGAGGCGGACGGCCACCCACCAGAGACCTGGGGTCTGTCCTAGGTTTCTGCCTCTTAAAAGGCAGTTTTTCCTTGCCGCCGTCGCCAAGTGCTTGCTCATGGTGGTACTGTTGGGTCTCTGTAAATAATGTTATAAGGAGTTTGGTCTAGACCTGCTCTATTTGAAAAGTGTCCTGAGATAACTTCTGTTATGATTTGGCGCTATACAAATTGAATTGAGTACTGGATACTGGATTCCCAAAGAAAGTTAATAAAACCAATGCATTAAGCCAGTTTTTTGCTCTTTTTCTTGTTTGTTTTCAGAATAGGGCTACCTCCTAATAGTCAACTTAATCGTTAGCCACTGAGAAGGGTCTTAGTCCATGCATTTTTCATTAGTTTGATCAGACTCCATTTGGGAGCTGCGCCCTGTGACCAAAGTATGAGGGGATTGTTGGGACACAGACCTTTTTCTCTTGTAATACAGGGAGTCACTTACTTCAGTGCTATTGCATATGCTAACTGCTGCCACTAGCTCGGTTTATAATGAAACTGTGGTGGGACAAATGGAGCGTGGCGGACCGGAGTAATTACGGGGAAACACTGGATGCCATTAAATCATACACACTGGTCCTCAAAAAATCAGCTTTTATGAGGAAGGAACTGCATTCAATATACAAATACATTTGAATGAATTTAAACATAACTTATTTCTTTACAAGAAAACTCCACAGGGCCCCTTTTTAACTTTAGTTAACCTTAATCCTTGAAAAATGAGAACACACTAGTTCCTCTACAAAATAATTTTATTACTTTGATGTTTTATCCTCAATAACTGGATGTGCAACATGTTGGAAATATAATCCAAATATATCAAACCATACCGCTGTTCAGTTACGCACCATTATCTCAAAGGGACAGACTCCCTCTTGTTTCTTGTGAGCCTAAAGCTTTCAGGCAGCTCGGATTTATTAGCTCTGCTTTAATATAGGTATTTTTGAGAGGGGGGCAGAGGACAGTAGAGAACTAACAGGAAATGAGGGGAGAGATGCCATGACATGGTCAGCTTTTTAAACCCCTAATCCCAATGAACTGACCCATTTGGATTGCACATCACTGCCTTTAAAATATCCGTCCCTACAGCTGTGCTGGGTTCTGTTGCCTGGCATGCTGGCAGCCCTAAAAAGCAGCAAGATGTACCTGTAACATTCTCACTTCAGTGTCCAGAACAGCAGCACACAGAGCTCATTTACCAACAAGGATGGCTCACGAACTGCTGGATTTAGCTCAACTTTTTGATTTGTCATTTCCTGTTGGCAGACCAAAGTAAAACTCCAACAGCAGAACAGAATTTGGGCTGAGAAAAAATGTGCCTTCCTGAGGACAGCATTTGTCTCTGCTGCAGAAAAAATTAGACTAGTGTTTTTGTATAATAATCTTTCATATTGCACGAAACATAGGCACAGAGCTGTAGGGAAACAGCAGCTCCGTGCAGTTGGGTCTGAATGAATTATTCATGAACAGGACTCAGAGCTGGTTCTCTGCACACTGCACAGTGACGTGCTCAACTTGTGATTGCCCTCTTGACTAACCAAGCTCTTTCTTGCAGCATAAAGTTACACAACATTTGTCTTATCGATTCAAAGAGCTGTAGACTGAGCTGATCTTCAAAGTACAATACCAAGTGTGTCATCTCTGCGGTGGTGGTTATAGTGGAATTCCTCCCTGTGTGTGTGGTGTAGGGGGGGGGGGTCACATGCATGGCTGGTCACATGCTTTGTTATTTAATAGAAAAGCCTCAGTGAAATTACATTAAATGAGCACAATTATGTAGGGGATGTTGCATTTTGCTGGCCTGATGTCAACGTGCATCCCAACATGTTTGTATTTTTTATTTTGTAATTACAAACCGCTGGGATGGGGAAAAACCTCACTCATAATTTCCCTTGTCTTAATTTATGTGTGTGGTGGTCCATCTGAACTTGATGTGACTTTTTCAAGTTTTTCCAATACTGATGGATTTAATGAAGTCCCCCTCTTCTCCAAAATCATCTTGTTTCTACAGTGTGATGTTTGACTTTCACTGTGCATTAGTGGTCCAGTATGCAGCTTGTACAGTGTGATGTAGAAACTTGAAGCCACCAGTGCACATCCACTGAGAATGGACTTTACAGTGAAGTAGGAGACATCTTGTGTCTAGCAGGAACACTTTAGAAATGAACAACATTAGCATATTCAGAGATTCTGGAAGTTTTAATGTTTAAATAAACCCATCAGACACACATTTTTGTTCCAAATTACCACTAAAACCTACTCAGTCAGTGGGTTTTGGTAATTTCACTTATTGCCAATTTGTAAAGAAACCTAACGTCACTAAACAGTGTTTCCTCTAGGATTTTTTTTAGCAGTGGGGGCAGGCCTGTCCGAAAATGAAGCAATGAATAATACCATTATGATTTGGAAACGGAGCATTTAGCAGCAGGGGTAACAAACGTTTTCGGCCTTGTGGCCTACCGTGTTTTATAACACATATTTACTTTAATATTCCATCTATGACTACATCTATAGACTATTTCCAATTTGTATTATATTAGTGACTCACTTACCGTTTTAATGTTTCCAGATGTTTGATATCAGGACGTTGAGCTGAGAACTGACAAGTTGAACATTGTCCAATTAAAACGGACCCACCGCGGTGACGTTTGTGGTGGAGCTGTTGGTTTAATAGTCGACTTGGAAGAAAGCGAACGTTTTGACAATAAGCTCCATCAACACAACAGTATGTGGAGTTAAAGTGGACAGCCCCAATAACCTCTGAATAGTTCTACTTGTTGTTAAACTGCAATGTGAGCGGCAGCCAACGGGGGTGCATTATGTCGGCAGGATCATTTAAAAGGCAACCGTGACTACATTGTGCGTCTGCCCCATTTCTGATACCGTGGAGGCAGAAATTTAACACCGGCGGGCCGCCGCTCCAAAATCAACATAGAGGAAACACTGCGCTTAAGTACAATGCCAGCAAAGGCAGGCCCTGTGTTATTAACTCTTTTCGTATCCTCTTAGTAATTTAAAAAACAATCGAATTTAAGAAAACTCATAATATAAAGAACACAGTCACTGTAACATGCAACATCATAGCCCTCAGTTTACGTTTACAACGCTGCCATGTAGTGGTAAGGGGGTTTAACCATAGAAATCGACTGTTTTTGAGACTTGATACAATATCACAAAATAAGAGATTGCGATACTGTACTTTTAGATATTTTCTTCTCCTTCATAGCTGGAGTGTGCAGCGCATTGAGGCCGCTACATTATTGTTTACACAGCATTATTATTCATCAGTTCCCACATTGTTATAGTTATTGTTATTGGTGTGGACTGCCCTTAACAAACTGTAGGTGTGTGTTTTTGAAAGACGTGTGCATTTAGCAAACAAACACGCTTTATAAATGGTATAAAAAGGTATATAAATTGTATAATTGGTATAATATTTGGCACTTGATCTATCTGGCTCTTTTTTCCTTTAATTTGACAGTTCTTAAATCCTTTTCTACGCAAACAAAACACTATTTCTGGAATACACCCTTCAGTGTGATTCAGCAGCACGAGTGCCCCAAGTAATTTGATTCCGTGTTGTTAGCTATGTTTTCTGTTGGCTTTTCTTTTCTAGCTGCACAAGCGGACAGTCCACAGTGTGTACATCATTCAGAACAAAAAGAAGGATGTTGCCAAGCTATTGCTGAAACTCCTGGCTCCGTCCAAGGCCTACCCTGTGTCTTTAAAGGTTAGTGAAACAACACACACTGTACTCCTGGCTTTGTTTTACATTTGTCTCCAGTTGGTAACCCTGATCTCATCTTTTTGCAGAAAGTCCTTCTGAAAGAAATCTCAGAGCTCTCCAACTACATCGATCGGAGCCAGCTAACGGCACCGCTGGGCGGCTACCTTATTTACTGTCACCAGAGCTGGGTTGCCTTTATTAAGGTAATTTTATTTTTTGGAACATGTCATGCCTCTGTCTAGTCTTGACTGCCTCTAGAGAAACCATATTTAGTAGTGGGGAAATAAATTGAGTGTCTAGCACCAAAAGTAGGAACCAAATTTTTGTTTTTATTAATTAAAAAAATACTAATATAAGGAAGTCAGTCAGTTAAGGGAACTTGTGATCCTAGAAACATTTTGCATCTTAACAATACAATAAAATGGTGTTAAGTCTTCTAGTCCATTTTCAGTTTCATTTTTGGCCCTCCATGGAGAAAAGTTTGGGTACCCTCTGGTCTAGTAGCTAAGGCTAGTTTTATCCTGAAAGTAAATACTAAATGTGTGTGGTATCTTATAGACACGTTGTCATAGTCAATAAACTATTTTTATTTTTTTTTTTTTTTTTTTTTAATTTTTTTTTTTTTTTTTTTTTGTTGTGTGTGTGTGTGTGTGTGTGTGTGTGTGTGTGTGTGTGTGTGTGTGTGTGTGTGTGTGTGTGTGTGTGTGTGTGTGTGTGTGTGTGTGTGTGTGTGTGTGTGTGTGTGTGTGTGTGTGTGTGTGTGTGTGTGTGTGTGTGTGATAGGTGATGCTGATATGAATGTTGTGTCTCGATCAGTAACATTTTAATCTAATGGTTCCTTCATTGTTTTAGGTTTACTGACATATTGTATGGGTATTTCATATTCTATTAAACTGTACACTTAAATGTGCAGTAACTTTAAAATATGTTACAGATATCAACTAAAGTTGTTCTTTTTCTTACTCATGGGTGACATTTTTATGAATGAAACCTTGTATAGCAATTTGTAGGTATGGATTGTTCTGATCACATTCTTCCTCATGTACAGGAATTAATCTGGGTTAAACAAGCGATTTAAGACACTTTGTGCAGTTACAAATTGTAGTTGTTGGATAAGAATCCATTAATGCTCTTCCATTAGGCCCAGTGTACATAAAGATCAAATCAGTGACATCTGCATCAGTATTCTCTATTCACTTAGTATATTTGTCAAACAGTTATAGGTTGTTTTTAGCTATTATAAGCACAGAGATTATATTAATGTTTTGTCAATATAGGCAATAAATAAATGAGGATCCCTCTACAATTCAACCATTGTGAGTAGTTGTTTATGAAACACATTAATATATCTGAATGATACAAAGAAAAACCTATGAATCTGTCTTATGATCAGTCAGAGGGCTTAACACAAAGTACCATTGTCCTGCTCTCCTTAGCAGCTGGAGAGCGCACACACACACACAAATACACACTCACTCTGCTTACGTCTGAAGGAGCACTCAAATATCTTCTGTTCATCTGACGCACAATACTACAGCCAAAATATTTATTCCAACTAAATGTTGCTTCTTTGTGATGGAGAGCGTGCTCAGCTCACTCAGCCAGGAGATGTTTTCATTTGTGAATCCATTCATGAGATCTGTCCAAGCGGCCTGCGTCTATTGTTTGTTACCTTGGTGAAGCTTGTGCAAATCCCTCACGTAATCAGCTGACCTTATTAGCAAGTGAAAGGAGCCCCTCTTTCCATTACATTATACATTCAGTCATGTTCAACTGGGGCATTTGGCCATGATGACAGTATTCATTAACTGTGGCAGGTCTCTGCCTATAGCGGGCCTATTTAGGATGCAACTACAAAATCTCCACCAGACCTAATTTATTTTAGTTGTGGCTGTTTAGCCATTACATCAAGATGATGAGCGTAAATCAGAGCAGCTTTACAATTATTCCATCATCTTGATTTATTAGAAGAATTACGATTTACCCTACTTAAGTCCTGCTCCTTTTTAGAACTAGGGATGCAAGATATGTTTTTTTGTTTTTTGTTTTGTTTTTATTGTCCAGCCAATACGATAACCCATAAGTATCAATGTTCAATTACTCTTTCTAGTAGTAGTTCATTTAAAAGCAAATATACATTTTCAAAATAATTTTGAATTAATATCTGTAATTTATCAACTCATTTAACTATTCCAATAATTGGAATTTTATATTCTAATAAATTTAGGCCAATAATTTACTTGTCGCGATAATTATTGTGCACCCCTCTTTGGATCCTCTGTCAACTTTCTTCTTTCCTGTACTCAGATATGCTATGTGCTAGGCTAATCTATGTTGAAAAGAGAACCACATTTTGAAGATGGTTAAAGATTACAGTGACACATAGTCACATCTTATGTGGCTAATGTCAACAAATGCTAGCTAATTAACTAGCCAATGATTGATGTAGATTAGCTATCTAGCTAGTAGGCTAGAGTTTTGTTAACATTAGCAAACTTAAAGGTCCAGTGTATGGGATTTAGTGGCATCTAGTGGTGCAGTTGCACATTGCAACTCTGCCATGTCACCCTCTTGAATGCCCTAATCTATAACCAGTGTTTAGTTTATCCCTTCTGGGATACTGTAGCAACGTGGTGGTTCAACATGGTGGATCCTCCTGAATGTTACACATTGGACCTGTAAAGATGTGACTGTGTATGCTGGCATGCAGTCTTTTCAGCAGACAAGCCTAGCAGATGGCATATCAAAGTACAGGAAAGGGAGGTTCTGACTGAGGCTTGCTCAACTGTTATTGGAGCACGGAGCAAAAAGGGGCGGGCTTTAGGAAGGATCAGTTAGACTTAAAATCCATGCTTAAAGTTATTAAAAAATAAAAAGAATCAAAAGTGTGAAAAGTTCAAAAAAATTGTCTTTGTTACAACACAATAGCAAACATCTTGCTCTTTCTATGATGGCGGCATTTTGAATTGACTCTGGCTCTTTGCTGCTCCTTGCAGGAGATTGATGCGTTTGTCCAGGAGTTCTTGTCTGTGGTCCAGCGGCTGCCCTCGTACATCTCCACCCTGCAGGTTCTGTCCCGACTGCCGCTGCCCTCCACCTTCAGCGAGCTCCAGCACTTCTGCTTCACAAACGAAGCCAAGTTCCAGCAGCTCAGGAGGTCAGGCTGTTTTTCTGCTCTTCCTGTTGGCCATTCTTAGTTCACTAAATGGTCTGACTGCATTAAAAGAAAAATAATATAATGACAATTTCAGCATGGCTCATTTGTACATATGATATGATGATATACACTGATCAGCAACAACATTATGACAACCTGGGCCAATTCATTATATACTGATATATTCAATGTATTTTGAGATTTTATTTTATGATCAACCAATCTATTCTTTTGGCATTATGGCTGGATTTAGGTGCCAAAATGAGATTTTTTTCATATACCTTACTTTGAGAAATATCAATCCTTCATCTATTTTTTTTTTTTTTTTTTTTTTTTTTGAGAGAGAAATTTAAAAAATTTCATGCCTAACTCCTAAAATAATTATACTGTAACAAGTTCAGTAAAAATTGCAATTGACAGTTTATGGCAACCATTGGATTGAAAAAAAACTTAAAACTGCAGTAAAACCTCTGGGAAACAGTTTAGTCATTCTCAGTGGCAGGGATCTAAGCACTAGCCCATGTTGGTCATTAAATTGTGTGTATCTTATCAAAAAGTCACAGTTCTATGCAACTTTGACGCCACCTTAGTGTTACTTCACAATGACACCTTTTGAAATGTAAGTGTTTTTTTTTAGTGACAAGGTTGTGCTATAGTGTACCAAAAATGTTTTGTGCTGGTCAGGGGGTACTTTTTTTTAATAAGGTATTCACCTTTTATTAAAAACATTTGGGAACTACTGAAATAAAGGATAACTCCAGCTTGTGAGGTCTGCTGTTGCTTGTGCAGACTCCATAAAAACCAGCAAACCCCCCCTTACTTATCATTGTTGCAAGTTTTGTTGCAACAGTGTTCTCAGGACTTGAATGTGAACATATTTGGAACTCGAATTTCTATCAAACACAAGGTCATTCAGAGGCAGCGGAGCATTGAGAATGACACTAATTTGCGGGATTAGAAAACCGCTTTTGTTCAGACACCACTGTGTAAACTGGAATATACTGAGTACTAGTGTTTTCTGCACTAGTAACAAAGTACACCACCAGTGCAGATTACAGAACAAAGAAACAAAACACTAAATTGTCCCTTTACCCACAACACGATCTTCAAACTAGCCTGCATTAAAGCTGCAGTAGGTAACTTTTCTTTTTCCACTGGGCCTGAACAAAACCACCAATTAGAACTGAGGAAAAGATTTGATTGTTGAGCCTCATTCCCAGGTTATTAAATACCAAAACTTTGGGCCCTGGAAATGAGACTCAACAATCCACTATCTTCAACACTGTCTTTCTGTCTTACTTTGCTCTGATTGGTTGTTTTCATTCAGGCCTGGTGAATTCTTGCAAATGCCATGGCGTGCCAAATGCACTAGAATGAGCCAGAAGAACCAGATATTTTTTATTTTTATCTGAAAGTTTCAGCAAATATGACAGTTATTTTCTAATAGTAACCTACTGCAGGTTTATATGTTTTGGTACATTTGCAGGGAGCTGGGGCTGGATGAACTGCTGAGGCGCTGTGAGAGTGTGGTGGAGAAGCTGCGTTACCCTGAGAAGGAGCCGTGCTACCAGGCGATGGCTGGCACTGCCCTCTTCACTCACACCGCCTTCGACATGCTCCAGAATCACTGCAGGTACTCTGAGCAGTCGGCTCTCAGAAGTCTCAGTCACAAGGGAGACTACTGCGCTCAAATGCCTTTATCTTAATCCTCTGCAATAACACTTCCCCACGCATACCATACAAAAATGTTGCAACGGTCCTTTGTTGCACAACAGCGGCAGCACAGTGCCAGTATGGGTTTGACCAGTGAGGTTTTTGTATGCTGAAAAATGTTAATCTAAACAATCAGTGTTAATCTGACGTTTTATGGTAGTTACACTCATCAAAATTGATTTAGTTTTATAAATGTGACTATTTTCATGGCTTAAAGTCACAACTGCTTGCTCTGTGATTGTCTGTGTTAAACTACAAAGGTATGGAAGAGCATTTAGATCCATCCAGTGTGTAGAATTTAGTGGCATTTAGCTGTGTAGTTGCAGATTGAAGCTCCCTCGCTTCGCCCTCCCCTTCCAAGCCTGTAGACTCCTTTTTTATGCCTGAATGTCACAGCCTGCAAAACAGCTCTGCCCCAAGTGTCTGATAACTAACCCAAATGCGACCAAACTAAGGGCGACTGTGGCTCAGGAGGTAGAGTGGGTTGTCCACTAATCAGAAAGTAGGCAGTTTGATCCCCAGCTCCATATATGGCAACAAGCCTATAGCAATATAGCAACTTTAATTTAAAAAATAAACCGTAAATAGTTTTCTTACTCTTGTTATCAAAAACATTGTGTTGCTGGTATAAGCACCACCCCTAATGACTCTTGAGCACCGCCCATATGGAGTATAGATACAGATAACAGTGTAGTTGCTCATTCCGACTAAATGGCATACATTGTGGAGTAATGGATATTAATTGATGATGCCGGTTGTTGGTTAAAGGTCTCTGTGTATTTTCCAGGATAACTGAAGCTGTGGAAAAAGTGGAGCTGCTGTGGCAGCAAGCCTTTTCTAAGGCCCATCTCCATCTGCAGGTGTTCCAGCTGCGAGAGGACGCACTGCAGGTGAGTCGGCCGACAGCTCTTTGTGTATTGCTTCATATGGGCTCCTGTGAACGCTGTGAGTCAGCCACTAGTGGGAACTAAACAACAGGGCCGAGACCACCTGAAATGTGGGGCCACAGTCAAGCAAAACACACTAACCAGTGGATTTTATGATGGTAGGTAGGGGATTTTAGCATAAATTAAAAAGCCAGTGAGCCTGTTATTAATTCTTGTGCTTCTCATTAAGTATTTTAACATGGCTCTCCTTCCTTTTTGTAAAAGTATGGCGATGACCTTAAACCAACATAACATAATAATAAACCACCCATGGTTAAAATGTCAGGTTACCTCTATGAACTCTGCTCCTGCTTACAGATCACAGAGCAGATCAACACTCTTTTTAAAGAGAAACTCCAGCCTTACAAAATAGAGATTGCCAAGGATGCTGCCAAGGCGGTGTTGTTGGTGTCCGAATTTGAGGCATCCATTCACACCCCTGCTATGGTATTTATTTCTATTCTTTTTCTATTTCTTTTCTGGTACTTTGCTTAGTGTAACATGTATGATGATTTGAACAGTTTAACACTCTGGAAGTGTCTTTGTTCCTGATTAGGTTGGATATCTAATATCACCTCACTTGTATCTTAAATAATTATATAATAAATTCCTCCTCACCCGTCTCCTACCAGGCACTTGTTCGCTGCGCTGAAGACGTGATCCACACATTGGCAGAGATCCTACCGTTAGATGGCCAGACCAGCGAGCGCTGGCTTCTGGATCTGGAGAGGCTGAAGGAGAAACTCCACTCTGCTGTGCACTTCATCCTTCAAACCCTCAGAGCAGTTTCCAGCTACCATCACTACTACAACAAGGCAAGCACTTGAGGAAGCTTAAAGATGGTCATGTCTTGGACCTGTGGTCTAGAAATGTATATTCAATCTTCAATGTGAGAAATTGAATCTCACAAACTGCCTTTGTTTTTTTTATCTGTTCACATGCAAACATCTCACATGCAAACAATTGAAACAATCTCAAAAAGAACATTTTGGTTCATTAATGTTCTTTTTGAGATTGTTTCAATTGTTTGCATGTGAGATGTTTGATTTGAGTTACACTTCAAATAATTAGATTTTAATTTCACTCTCATATCACTGATTAGAAGTAAGCCCAATGAATCTACAGTTAAGACAGTTATGGAATAACTAAAGCTTATCAGATTGCAATCCACAGACAGTATCGTATCAATTTTGGGGTCCTTGACACCAAAACGTTTGAGAGCCACTGGTCTGGGTGATTGAAAAAGTTGAAGTGCTGCAGCAGACTCCCACCCTTGGGTAGATGAGGTGTATGATCTCTGTGTATGCCTCTCATGGTCCCTGTCACCCACAATATCTTCTGTTTGAACTATTGTGGGCATTTCTGAGCTTTTTGTAGTGTCCTATAATTTGCTGATCTTTAAAAAAACTTTACAATCTGTATAGTTTTCACTGACTGTCAGTGTTGCGAGGGGTTTTAATGAAAGTCTTCTGCACAAAAATGTGCCTGTAATGCTGTGGTCTTATTGGCTAAATTACAAATTATCATATCAAAAAAATATTGCGTTAGGATCATACATCCTATACATCGATCATACATACAACACTCTCATAAAATGTTTATGATTCACGAACAATTAGAAGAAGTCTCCCCTCTTAAAATAAACAATAATACACAATTTTACTATTCTTGAAAATAAATGTTTATTTAATTTAGTATGACCCAATACTGTCCACTACTGTTCTTCTCACAGGCCAGCAGCTGGTACCGCCTGGTCCTCTGTGAGAACTTCCTCCAGGAGCTGCTGTCGGGCGTTAATGGAGACGGCGCTCCCACGCAGAGGCAGAGGAAGAACTGGGGCACAATCCCTGCATGGAGGCACAAAATGTCCACTTTCCTGAAGAAGAATCCCCCTCCAGATATGGAGGAGCTAGTTCATCTGGCTCATCTGTCTAATGTCGTCCCAGATGATGAGGTCCAGCAGGCGGGCAAACAGATGTCCCAGAGGTGAGAGACCATTTACTTTCATGTCTTAAAAATATTTGTGTTCTCAGTTTCTTTTAGGTGTGTGAAATATTTGTCCAGGACAATGTTGGGGGATGGTCTTGGCTCGTCGTCCATGTTGGCTACATTGTGAAATAGTTGAAGTATGCTTCAGTTTCTCTCTTAAATGTTTCCAGAAAATATCTGTATCGCCCACTCATAACATGTTTACTACATCATCTCCAACAATTGACCCATCTTAAGTCCCTCCCCTTACTAGCTAGCTAACCTACATCATTGTTAGCTAGCTAGTTACACATTTGAACTAATGATAGCAAAATGCTAGCTATTTGTGCATGTACGTTGAAGGGCGTGTCTGTGGCGTGCCGTAAAAGTTGGCCATTTTGATTTCCGTGCTCATTTTTGGTTAATTTTTCGGCCTGTATTTGAACGAACTCCTAGGGAATTTAACGCATCTACTTCAAAATTGGTCAGTACAGTCAAAAAATGGTGCTGATTAAAAGTTGTGCTATTTGAGACGTTGAAGGGCGTGTCTGTGGCGTGCCGTCAAAGTTGGCCATTTTGAATTCTGTGGTCATACAAACTGTAGAGGAACAGTTGAGCTATTTGTGACTGTACGTCAAACTGAGTGACGACTTCTCGAATTCAGCCGATTCGCCATAAAACAGTGCTCATAACTTCAGTGTGCAATGTCCAATCTCCAATAAACTTCCTATATTCTGTAACAGTCTCGCCCTGAACACGTCCTCATAACTTCAGCGTACATGGTCCAATCTCAATGAAACTTCACGTGTTTTAGAAGAGTCCTGCCCTTAACATGTCTACATGACAATATTAGGACATAGTGATAGTGGCACCTACTGACAACAGGAAGTAAGCGCTGTGTGGCGATTTTGAGCTGATTTACGTGAAATTTTCATGTTGTGGTCCACACGTGTTACGACGGCACGTGACGCAGTCGCAGCATGCCCCAAGTTGCGTGGAGTTCGAGGTCCCGCCCAACAGCTTTTAATTTGTAATTTTTTTTTCATTCATTAGGTGCGTGACCCTGAGGAAACTCCTAATTTCTTCAGGACCTGTACCAGTCGGTCTCCTTAAGCTGGCCTTACGGTGGCAGTATGAGTTGTTGCGGAGCAGCCATATACATCATTCCTCTGCTCACAGTGCTACAAACGGAATGGATGTTCCAGACCTCATAAGAGGTGATACTGGCAAGGAAGCGCCCCATCTTGGAACATCTCCTTCAATTGCAGTTTCTGGGAATGCGCCAGCTGAGAGCAAACCCCTCTCCCTCAGCTCATTCGACTCAGGTTTCGATGGAGCTGGGAGCAGCCAGCTGGAGGCCTGGGGAGGGAGGGAAGGAGTGGAAGGTCTGTCAAAATTAGGGACCAGGGACTCTGTGAGACCAGCCTTGAGCCAGCCTCAAATCCACAAAGAGAATATGTCCAGTGTTTCAGATTCTGAAGATCACAAAGAGGAGTTTGACTTTGGCTCTGTGGGAAACTCGTCCAGGGCCAGCATCCAGATCATCCCTAAAGTAACTGTGGAGTCCCTCAACTTTGAGATCAAAGTGAAGCGCTCTGCTGCGTTACCCAACAATCCTTGGCTTAGCTTGCCGGTAGACGATCTGGAAAACTCTTACACAGTTACCATTAAACAGAACCCAACACCGCAAAAGAGGGACCTACACGATCCCTCAGACCTCCAAGCTGATGCCAACCACTCCAACAGGTCTCGAGATCAGCCCACACAAACAGAGGTGATGACTAGCACACAGGACAGAGGGCCACAGAACAGGGACTGGATACTAGATTCACAAAGCAGTTTGGAGGATCCTGAGCTAAGTCCCATTTGCAACATCCTGTCCAGCACTATTACAGACAGAAGAGATAAGTCCATCTGCACCACAGAGGGGATCCCTACTCTCCTCTGGGATTCTTATGACCTCCATGACCAGAATCAGGATTCTGTTGACGGGTAATGCATCTGTTGCACTAAAAATATTTGTTTAAAAAATTACAACTTGCGTGCTTTGACCTAAACTATTTTGTAGAAGGGTTAGGGTTCATTCACAGTGCCTCTGCCTCGGTTGAGTGACAAGCGAACTGTTAAGATTGCATTTTGCAGTGATCGCAAAAAACCTGACCTTTTTAACAATTATTCCAGCTGTGACGTTAAATCCAAAATGCTTCCACACATTATTTATCAGATGGTTTGGCGTCATGGTTTACAATAACCTAGTTTACAGAGGACAGTGCAGGGGTCACACAGACGATGCAGCAGGCCATGCCTTGTACAAGGCATTCATTTTTCTTTATTTTGAACAGGATTTAAAACTTGAGAGAGAGAGTAGTGTACAAACAGTTGTCAGCGTTCTATTGCGCTACTATGACTGAGTGACCATGGCCCCCACCCCCCCTAAGGTGGCTATGCATGTCAAATTTTCCATTCTAGCATGTTGTATTTATTTTATTTTACTTTTTGTGGCTTTGTCGCTGAGCAGTGGCGAAAGAAGTTCACAACAAAGCTGTAGAATTATCTCTAACCAGAGTGAGTTTGTGGCCAGAATTCTATACAGGGTTACAGGAAACAATCACTATACACAAAAGGTGAGCGCCGGGCTCTCCCTCACAATAGACCAAAGGATTTTACTCACAAGGATCTGTTAATCAGCGAAAATTGTTTATCTCAAGACAGCTGTTTTACTGCTTAGGTGTTATAAATCTACATATTGGTGAAAGAATGAATGTTCAATGGCAATCCATAAATATCTGCAGCATCCATAAATATATGCAGGGCTTATTGCCATGCACCAATCATTTGTACTTTACAGGAGCTTCTACTGTATATTAGAAACTACCACCCTTACAATAGTTTAAAAAGCTAAAAGCTGCATACTGGGCTGTTAGTTCTCAGTGGAACTGACTGCAGTCAGCAACAGTGTGACATTAGAGGATGTCATTTGTTGGTTTGTCGAACTTTGATAATGTATTGATTTGGCTAAAAGAAATGACCAAATGGCACTTTCCATGCTTTTTTTCCAGGTTGGTTGATCTCTCCCTAAAGGACTGGGATGTGAAGGAGCAGGAGGGTCTGAAGGAGGTGGAGAAGATCCTGGACAGGGCTGATGAAATACTGGAGGTAAGAAATGCACAGTTTGAGAGGTGGATGATTGCTACCACTTAAGGCTGCAACTAGTGATCATTCTTTGTCTTTAAAATGTCAAATGTAACATCAGAAGCCCTTCAGAAGTTACAGAGCCCAATGAGTGTCTTGATTTCTTACTTGAGCTGTCAAATAATCGTCTTTGTTTACAGAGAGAAGAACATGTTCTGGCTCAGGAGGCGGTGCTGGATGCTCTGCTGAGGTCTGAGGACAGGCACAATCAGTGGCCTCTGTGGGACAGCGAGGACCAGCTCGGTGTAGTACGTAAAGGATACTGTAGATTAAATACATATTGTAAATGAAATTTATCACATGGAATCAGCGTTTTTCTTGGTTTTTGCATTCCTGGGGGTGTTTTTAACTATCATTCCAACTATGGTATACAGTTATCATCAATTTTTGTTTTAATAATTTCAATTTGAGATTTCTTATTCCAGAAACATAGAAGGAAAAGCCTTCACAAAGAGGCTAAAAGTTCAGTTACTTATTTGTCACAGTGAAAATTACGTTTCACTAAAAGCTGTTGTTTTAGACAACATTATAGAAAGGATCCCTACAGAGAGAGACCACAAACAGTTTCTATTGCTTGCCACCAGACTCCATAGACAATGATTTTATCCCACATATCATAATACTTCAAAGTGTGTCCACTTTGAATGAAGTTAAAATAAAACTCACCAAATCCATGAAACTTTTGACTTTCAGCAGATGAATGTGAAAACATCCTTCTAGTGTCAAACTCTGCACATACATCATTCAAACACCACACTGTAGGGACAAGAAGAAGCACTGATTTCTTGCTGGAGGGAGGCTTTAAAGAAATATGCAGCCACACAAGATGTTACTTACATGTGCAATACCTGAACATACCAGTTTTCAACACTGCACTTCCAGTTGCTTTGTTTAGGACTTTAAGACTTGTCAGATATTAGTCATTATTTTTGACTAAGTTGAAGATAGGGCTGTCTGTTCTGTCAGAGACTCTGGATGGAAACCAACAGGACTTCCATTGTAAAAATCAAAAATCAAACCTGTCCAACTTGTGCTGTATTTGTTAGCAACTGTGACTGGAGAACAAATGTCCACCTTCATTGACCTACAGTTTATACACCCAGTGGAAACCGGCAGTGTTTGCTCATTCTGCTTTCTCTGCTCATTTTTAAAGATGTCATCTAGCGAGCTGGCTGAAGCAGGCGTTCTTGGCCTCGAGGATTTCCTTGTCCCTGCAGAATCTGACAACCTCAGTGAACCCCCATCAACTGCACCTGCAAGTGAAGCTAAGGCCTCTTACGATGAAGCTCCCACAGGAGCAGATGCAGCAGCATTTCCCAGCAGGCCGGATCAGCTGACAGAGCTGAGAAAAGTCCGCGTGCTGGATGAGCTAATTGTGGAGGAGAACCTGAAGATCCACAAGCTCCGACGCTGCAAAGAAACACCCAATGAGGAACTCTCCGAGAGCAAACTCCCGGATACAAACGGGCTGTCGATTATGCGCAAAGAGAGGGAGGCTTTCCGGTTACAGCTGGAAAGGGAGAAAAGGGAGGTGGAGAAGCTCGAGAAAAGTTTGGGCAAAGAGTGTAAAGTGAAGAAGCACAAAGACAGAGCTAGAAAGGTTGTGAAATGTTCTATAATGGAGAAGGCTAGAACTGAGAATAAGGAGGACCAAGTGCTCTGTTATGAGCTTTTATCAGGGAGCTGTAACAGATCACAGAGAACATATTCTTTGGTCCAGAAGGATCCTCAGGCTCAGGATAGCAGTAAATCTGAACATATTCAAGCAGTATTGTGTCATGATGATGCTAAAGACACTACACTACAAGACTTACTTCCAGATTCGCAATGTCAGGATCACTGCTCCGAAGCTGAGCCATCAATATTTAATAAAACTGTCTTGATAAGTGCTTCTGAATTGAAGGATCCTCCTGAAGAACTTCAACTATGTATCAATGGGAAAGAATTTGACAGATCTGGTAAAAGCGCTACCATGTGCAAACCAGAGCCGTCCCTAACCCCTGAGATGAGCCCAGATGATGGAGCGTTTGACCCAGGTGGAAAATCACACCTTCCTCCTGTGCCTAAGCCAAGAAAGGCTTCGCTTTCTGTGAACGGCGACCTCGCAGGACAAGAAATTCCTCATACCATAGAGCCGCAGTCACCAGTTGCTCAAGATCTCGCTATTGTGCAACCTGATCTACAACATAAACCACTTGATGCAGTGCCAGAGAACCCGACTCCAGCCAGCAGCTACAACTTTACTTTCAATCCAAATTTGAATGAACACAGCAACAACAACAATAACAACCATGCGCTCTCAGAGAAATGCAAGTTGTCATTAGATCTGTCTGAAATAAGCACTAAAGCTGAAGAGGATGAATCTTCCTCAGTGGTAGCAGATTTACACCCAGCAGAGGAAATCCAGTCTATATCTCCTGTAGATGAGTGCACATATCAACAGTGGGCACCAGAGCTGCCTCCTGACCAGCCTCTGGAGTTTGAGCCCAGTGGAGGAGAAGACTTGACTGATGGTTTTCAGAGCTCTGGGTCCATGAGGGTGTCAGGCTCTGGGTCATGTGGGTTTCAGGCCCAGCTTGACATCAGCACAAGAGAGGTAGGGGTCTACTGTGATATGTGGCAACTTTTTAAGTCTTTGAAGTCCCTCAGTTGAGAGCCTTCATATAGACCTTTCAGTGTATCTCACATTCATTAAATGAGACTTATCCTTAGTTAAAGGGCAGATGCTATCTTAGGCCCTCGTGGAAACTTAGTTGGTAGTAATACAGAAGTTTTTCTTAAGGATACAGTTCAACCAGGAAATCATCAATACAAATCAATACTTCACATTTGTCCTTCACGTTTGTGCTGCAGCTGGATATACTTGCTGCTTCCAGTCTTTATACTTGGCTGGGTTAACCACAGACTGACTCTCGCTCCTCACTTAAACACACACAACTCATATCAGTCTTCTCTTCACAGCCTTGGAGGGAAAGCAAATGCGAATATTTCCTGCAATGTCGTAACTATCAAAGTGAAATGTGACTAAAATGAATAATTAATATTTTTTCTCTACATGGCTGCAGATGACAGATTTCAAGACCCCCATAGTACTGGATACAGGGTCTGGTTTGATGAAAGCAGGATTTGCAGATCAAGACCTCCCCAAAATTATATTCCCAACAATTATCGGGATACCAAAATATGAGGTAAATACATATGCTTAATGAATTAGTCCTTGTTCTCTACAAACAAACATTCCAACAGTAACGTGGCTTTGCTTCTAGCCAGCCTTTGTGACGAGAAGTTGTGTGTTTGCAGGAAATAATGAATGGTAACCTAGAAAGGGAGACGTATATTGGACATGAGGCTCAACACTTGAGAGGGGTTCTGGCTCTGAAGCATCCCATAAAGAATGGGATCATCCGTAACTGGGATGATATGGAAAAGGTAAGTAGAAATGCATGTGTTTTTTCCAGATAGGGGAATGCTTTAGAACTCCCACAGTTACCCACAGCCAACTACCACATAGCAAATGAGGTGCTGCTTATACTCTCCTGGCACATAAGACCATGTCCAAATGACCAAAGACTTTCAGCCCATTCCTAGAACTCTAAATATAAAGACAATGTAGAAACGGAGTAAGCTGTTGCATTCACCTGTATATTTGGCAGCACATAGGCTGTGTCTCATTAGTAATTCCACTTCCCCTTAACCCTTTGTATTATGTAACAACATACGTTGCACGGTGGCCACTTGGAGGGCAGAAGGAAGGTGGGCGGGGTAGAAGTAGAGGATTTAAATGGAACACACTTGCTCAGCGCAAACTCTCATGGACCAACCAGCAGTTGTTGCACTGCTTTATACAAATCATCAGAAATCTCTGCGGACTCATTTTGACGAGGCAGTGGCGTCCTCTGCGGATAATTGCAACACATCAGCACTTGGTAATTAGTTGCATCAGTTCCGGGTTTAGAAATTGAATCATAATTGGATAGCTATTATTGCTATGGGCTTATGCTATCTTACAAAAGAGTGTTTCCCACATGTTTACAGATAATGTTGGAATAAAGAAATCATACAAGCTGATGTGCAGCAATCTAAGTATGCCTAAATATTAACTGCAATTACATTTTTCAATAAACTATAAGCTGTATTGATATTTTCTTAAACTATTTCCTATACATATGTAAGCCTACCTATACAGACCTATAAGATATATTAGAAAAACTTCAATCAATTAAAAATTGGCTTATTAGCTAACATGTAAACTGAAATGTTGATTAATGTGCATTGTCCCTGGTAAATAAATAAATAAAATAACCAAAGTTTTACATACATTTTTGCCACCTAACCATGAATGTATTTTCTTGCACCAAATGCCTAACTGCAATGCATTGTGGGTGATCTACACCTCTGGAGTGAATATGACACGTATGTAGGCAGCGGTAGGGGTCAGTGCGGTCCTGTTGAACGGCTGATGAAAGGCAGCGATGGCGAAGGCAGGATTTGAACCTATATGCAGGACCAGCATTTCCTTGGTTTCCCTCCTTGCAGTCACTGAGTGCTAATTTGTCCCTGAGCTGCTAGCATGTCACCATAAACACATTTTGGAGAGGCAGAATAAATATGTTTGAGTGTAAATTTGCTCGTTACCTAGAATAAATTCCACACACTGTTTTTAGATTTGGCATCACACGTTCCAGCAGCTGTGTGTGGATCCGGAGGAGCACCCTGTTCTGCTGACCGAGGCAGCCATGAACCCCTTGGAGAACCGTCAGCGCATGGTGGAGATTATGTTCGACTGTTTCAACGTACCCTTCACCTACGTGGCCATGCAGGCAGTGCTGGCACTCTATGCAGCAGGGAGGACCACTGGTAATCTGTTCAACTCATGGGTCTTTTTATGAATTGTTACATATGCATTGTGCTGGAAAGATGGTGCATTAATACTTAATTAGAAATGCATTCATTCATTATAAGAACTGCGTTCATTCATTATAAGAACCTAATAGCTTTTTATATTGTCTCTGACTTCCATCTGCCACATCTGTCGAAAGCCATATGTTCCTCTAAGAGCAAAACTAATATTTTTTTGTTTTAGGTGTGGTGTTTGACTCTGGAGACGGAGTGAGCCACAGTGTGCCTGTGTTTGAGGGATACTGTCTACCTCATGCAGTGCAGCGCTTCCCTCTGGCAGGAGTAGATGTGACAATGCATCTTAAAAAGGTAGTCTGACTGTTTTTGATATTTGCACTTCAAACACACTATTAACTGTCAGCCAGCCATTGCCTTTCACATATAGAAACAGGAGCTGCACAGCAACAGTAATGGTAACAATAATAACTCAACAACAACTTTATCTTTACTCATTTAAGCAGGCATAACCTTAAATACCTGTTTCATGAAACAACAAATCCGCTTTTTCAATAGCAAACTTAATGGGGTCGGCTTTGGCTCAGAAGGTTGGTGGTTCGATCCCCGGCTCCTCCCCCTGTGTCCTAGAGCAAGATACTGAACTCCAAATTTCTCTTGGTGCTGTGTAATCAGTGTGTGTATGTGGCATGTAATAAAAGCACGTTCAGTGGTCGGAAGACTAAAAAGACACTGTACAAGTACAGTCTTTTTACCATAAGAACCAAAATAGCCAACAATGGGCCTGTCAGCTTTACATACGTCACATTACACGTTAAACAGCAGCATGTCCTGTTGCTGTGAGCTCTCAGTTAACCTGTTGTTGACCATTGTGCTGTGTCTGTACTCAAAGCTTCTGCAGGAACAAGGAGTGAGCATGCGCACCACAGCAGAGACTGAGATTGTGAGGGAGATGAAGGAGAAGTGCTGCTGTGTGGCTCTAAACTATGAAGCTGAGCTGAGTCAGGGGGGCCCATCCTGCAGAGAGGTGCATTACACCATGCCAGACGGCCAGATTGTCACCCTCAGCACGGAGAGGTTCAGGTAACTGTCTGCACGTCACGTCCTGCTTCAGATGGACACTCGACCCACACAGTGGGATATTTAAAGGTCCAGTGTGTAACATTGAGGAGGATCTATTGTCAGAAATGGAATCTAATATTCAGAGCTATGTTTTCAATAGTGACCTGAGAATAAGAATCATATTTTCACTACATTAGAATGAGCTGTTTTTATCTACAGAGGGAGTTGGTCCTCCTCCACAGAGGCTCTACATATATCAGTACAGTGTCCCCCTGGCTTTAGTACTCTGGATCTGAAGTTGGCATTATTCAACTAGACTAGTCCTACAGATGCTGCACACATGTCAGACTGTTGAGGCACCTCTTGTAGTTCTACTGCTGTCCCCCTCGTTCATCCAGGGCCCCTGAGATTCTCTTTAAACCTGAGCTAATTGGACGGGACCATTACGGGATGCACGAGAGTGTCTTCAAGTCAATCCTCAGCTCAGACATCGACCTGCGGCGCGGCTTCCTGGGAAACATCGTACTGTCAGGTAACAGCTTCACGCTTTGATCAATTCAATTTTATTTGTATAGCGCCAATTCATAACAGAAGTTATCTCAGGACACTTTTCAAATAGAGCAGGTCTGATCATGCTTCAGTTAATTTGATCTTTACTGAATGAGTTTTAAAAAGAGAATTTCTTGCTGAAGGTGGGAACACTCTGCTGCCCGGCCTGCCCGAGCGGCTCCAGACCGAGATCAAAGGGCTGGTTCCCACTGACATGGGGGAGAGCGTTCATGTCACCAGCCCAAAGGACAGAGACTTCTCTGTGTGGAGCGGAGGAGCAGTGCTGGCCAACCTGCCCACCTTCAGCTCCGCGTGGATTAGTCAGGAGGAGTATGAGGAGCATGGACCACAGATTGTCTTTAGGAAGTGTTTCTGAGAAGGACCACCGTGTGACGTACCACCAAGTGCAATATACATACAGCTCAATCACAGTGCCATGGATTGATCCCTTTTTATATATATATATATATTTTTATGTATTGATGAGTTTGTTTTTTTTGTGGAGACGGTTTCACCCTCGTCATCTGTGTGGATCCTGTACTTGACCCCAGCGGGTTTCTACTGACCTGCTGCTTGCTTTATGCCTTTCCTACTGAGATCCACCAACATGGCAAGGATGAAATTGGCGTTTGTGATAAAATTCCTCTCAGTCGATGTCCCTAAAGAGCTTTTTCACTGTGTGTGAAGTTTCCCATTTTGGGAATATGTGTCTATGAGAATTTAAGCATATTAATGTTGATTAATGGGACTATAATTGAAGCTGGCCATTAATTGAACTTTTGTCTCCAGAATAAGCAGTTGAGGGACATAAAGAAACCTCAATGTGCCCACTATATATTAATCTACTATTAACTACAAATTATGGAGTGTATTTATACAACAATTTAAAGTAAATTTGGTATAACAGATTATCTTTTTAATGTGTTCAATATGGTGAAAGGTGCCTTCATTTTGGAATCTGGATCAGTGCCACTGTGCAGTGTCTACTACTTTTTTATTATATCAGCATTAAATGATCTTTACAATGGATTATTTGGGCCACAAGAACATTTTTCTCACTTCAAATTATGTAATATTCCAACTTTTCTCCCTTTTTAAAATATCAACTTTTTCCTTGATGTCACAACTTCTTAAAACATTGCATTTTTTCTCTTGTGACTCTTGATTAATAATGTGATTTCTCACGTTCCAACTTTATTTTGTCACAAAATTACAAAACCTTTTCAAAATTTTGACTTTCTGTCCTCAACATTGCAAATTTTTAACTCAAACTTGACTTTTCTTGAATATTTGTAATAACATTACAACTGTTTGTTTTTTTCTAAATGTTATTTTTTTTTACCTCAAAACTTTTTTCCATAACATTACATCTTAACAGATGATGATATAACTTTTTCATGTCATAATTGTTTTCATTACTTTTGCAAAATTTTCGATTTAAAAAAAAAAAAATATTTTTTTCAAGCAGTGGCCTTAATACTCAAAGTAAAGCATCATTGCACATGAATATTTGCTGTTGCTGCAGTAATGTGAACTGGAGAGGAGAAAAGTGTGGAATTGTGGGGTTTGTATTCTAGAGTTGTGTCTCACTGGTGGTTATTTCCCTGTGTGTTGATTCTCCACCCAAGTTGCCCTTTGCTTAGTGAGGGTCGGTGTGCAGTTGGTAATGATGGTGAGAGATGTGCAGTACAGTACTGGTCTGGCAATGTCTGTTGAATAATGCTACTGCTGCAGTAGTCTTTGTCTATTGTGTCAAGTTGAAATGAGTATTTATCTATGAGTGCAGTGTCTTGCCATTTAATTTTTCTTCTAAACTATCTTCTGATCTGAGAACGGTGGTTGTGTGGGTTTTTTAACACTTGCACGGTAGCATTGATTTTTGTGAAAGATGTTCCAACGGTGTCAAAACTGCTGTTTCTCACTGCCATGAACTCTGAAAACCCTCTTGTCAACCCTGTGTATTTATATTTATCTCTTGCATGAAATGATTTAATTGCATGTAATTTAGTTTCAGCTTTTTGCATGAGCTCCTTTTTGTCTTTTTCTTTGTATGTTTTGTAAAGTGCCTCTCTAAAGGCATGGGGTTGTCATGTGACCTAGAGCTCCGCTCTTAAGTGGGAATCACTGTTAAATGTGACTGTGGGAACTCCAGGCTGAGCCTTACGTAAGGACTCAAGTGAACAGCTCACGTCCCCTCCCTCCCTCCCTCCTCTCCACGTACTGTAACAGTCTGGACTGAGTCTAGCAATGTTTCACCCAAACCATACTATTTATGTCATGTCTTGTTTTTATAATAAATATTTTAATCATCATTCCTCTGTGTTGCTCCTTTTTGTTCAGCTGTCTCAAATCTCACTGAGCATGCTGAGTGTTTTCCACTGTTGGAGCTGATACATTCCTCAGCCGTCCTAAGCAGGAAATACATGGGAAATGCTCCAGTTAGAGTGGAATGTCTACCAGTACCATCATCTGCATCTACATCATTTTTAAGTGCTGCTCTCCACATTGACTGCAGTTCATTGTGTATTAAGCCAAAACTGTTCCATTTAAATGCCTCCTTAATGTTAGGCTCCTTTTAGCTTACAGTTTGGTCTAAATAAATAAAATGATGCATACAAATGTTATAGCTACATACCAAGATACCTGCACAGCTGGCTCTGTTGTAAAGAACTGACGAGATGGAAGCCCTTTCAAGCATTGATTAAAATAACTGATTTACCACCTGTTGGTCAGCAGTAGTCTTTGTAATTGTGACTCTGTTGCCTTTTGTTTGCTTCATGGAGGCTTGAAGAGGTGTCTTGTGTGTAGTGCTGGGTGTTCTGATTAATTTGTTAGGTGCCAGACTTGAGTGCAATGTGCACCCATGGCGGATGAAGAAAATGCATTGCCACCCCAGTTTGGTGTCAAACGCATTAATTTACATTCACTTTAAACAGAAATGAATGTAATGATCTGGTATGGACTCATTTTAGACTCAGTGATGAGTTCAATGAAAAAAGACGTGAAGATTTGAAAAGAAAACAATGTATTGATTTCTAATGCCACTTCCAAGCAAATATGTGATTGTGATTAAATCAGCATATATTTCTGCCACCCCTTAAAGTCTCCATGCCACCCTCTAGACACCCCATTCATATTTTAATGTGTAGGTAGCACTCTTCCTCATTTAACTGCTAAGTAAACTTCATTTCAGTGAATAAATACTATGGTGGTAATTTGTCACTGAACTCTGGTGTGCAGTGTTTGTGCCTCTATAGACTTTAAATGTTTTTGTACTTGTGTGACAAACCATTTATTCAGCTGCATGTGCTTCCCTGTGCTCTTTGTCTCTTTTCCTCCTCTGTTTCCTGTAGCTCTGCCCAGGTGTGCTACAGCTGGTAGTTAAATGAGGTGCACCTGGCCTGGGATTGAGGCGCTGAAGAGCTGCAGTGCCAGCATCAGAAGAGAGAGGCTTTTAGCTCGGGAACTGCTGCTGTTACTGCCTCTCGGCCTGGGACTGACAGTCTTGATCTAGTGTCCTGGTTGTTTGTGAGGTATGACTCAGCTCATGACCTTTACTCTGGTACTGAGGACTAAATTGTGTGTAGTAAAGGCCTTACTAAGTGGGTTTACACAAGAATAAGATTCATTGTAAAATATAAGTGTAGGTTGATAATCACCTGCTGAATTGTGCTTAAGTCTAATGTAGTAATACAGTATGACCACCTTTACTTCCTCTACCCCTGTACAACACAAACAGACAGCAGTGCACTGTATGCAAAAGACCTTCTCTGATAGATTGACTTATTTTGGTGTTTATGTACTTTGTCATGTTTGGCAGTATGATTTCCATGTATTGCAGACATTCTTGACTTTATCTTTACAGAAAAAGTTCCTATAGTGTGTTATTAGTGTAGTTATTATTTAAACTGTGTTCTGATAGTTAATTGACCTTCCTTTTTTCCCCCAATACCAGAAACAAGCAACATGATCGTAGAGTATTATACAAACACTAAACTGATATTTTAAATAAAAAATGTTTCGTTATTATTTAGTTTTTTCATTATTATATCTATTGTATTTATTTTATTTTCATCTTACTCAGCACATTTGTCTACCTATATATTATTTTTGTTATCAGCTGTCTTGCATAGACCTTTTTCACAGCAGCCATGGATCTGTTCCGTTTAGTGTAGCAGAGCCTCTCCAGTGAGCCAACATGCACAATAGCAGCACTCACACTGACTCAAATGTCAGGTTTGACCTGAATGGAAGAGAACCCTAATCAGTATCATTGGTAACAACACCTGTATTTGTTTACCCTACGATTTCATGTCAAAATGGCTGCTGTGAAAAAGGTCTAGTTGTTTGCTGAGCGAATTTACAAAAAAGAAATGAAACACTGAACTGTAGCAACTGACAGTTTATCATTGGGACTGTAGCGCGCTCTAGTGGACACTGTCACGTTACACAGCCCTGCTTGATACATGGTTACTATGGCAACTAGTTAGCAACAGTCCGCTGTGGGTAGGTTAGCCGGATCGGTGCCCGTTATTTGGAGTTGAGAAAAGTTTGTTGGTGTCGGTGAAAATGTCTCGAACTCACGCAGAAAGCGTTATTAAGAACATCATCGGTGAGATAGTGCAGCAGTGTGCAGTGAGGGGACACACTGTGTCCGACACTCTGGTGGCTTTCATGGTCAGTATCAAGCTAACCGCTAGCCAGTTACCGGTAGCTAACGCTAGCTGGGTGCTAAACTGTCAGACCCCAGTTAAATGAAAATAACATACAGCTAGCAACTATACTAACGTTGAGTTACTCTGATATAACGTTACTGTAACGTTAGTACACTAATCCGCCAGGGGCTAAGTTAATATGTGTTATAATACAAAATGACATTCGAAGGACTCAGCTTAGTTTACGTTAGTTTCAGTTTATTTAAAGTATAGATTAAAATATATAAATATAATCACTTTAAGAAAATAAAACAAAGAAATACAATATAGATAGAAATGCACAATTATTTTACAGATAAAATAATTCTTTCAATGTTTGTATATTTCTGTACAGTTCTTCGCTCTGCCATATTGTACATTACTGTCTTTTTATATTGGTATATATTGGCTCCTTTCATTGGCTCTATTTTTATCTTTGTATTTTTCTATGCTTAATTGTTATGCACCAACTTACCAAGGCAAATCCCTTGTATGTGAAAACCTACTTGGCAATAAACCTGACTGTGCCAAAAGAAATTTGACAAACCAAATCACTCCTCCTGTACAGCACTTTGGTCAACTTTGGTTGTTTTTAAAGTGCTTAACAAATAAAGTTGGATTGGATTGGATTGGATCAAATACTTATGAACAAATAATTTAAAGCTGCAGTAGGTAACTTTCTATATATTTTTGAATTATAAAGATATTGTGTGATTTGCCAAAAACTTTCCTACTGGAGCTTTAAGAATTCATTTGAAACTTTGTAAAATTGCATGAAAGCTGCTACACGTCCATTTAAACCAGACAGGCCACAAAAATAAGGTAACTGAACTACAAAGTATATACAAAGTGATAACAAAAATGATGTATTCATAACTTTTTGTATAGTTGCATAATGTATGGTTGTATGGCTCAGGTGAAAGCTGTTGTGCTGGACCCAAGAAATGGGTTTAATGTTGATCGCACGCTGACCAAACAAGACGTCCAAAAACTTGAAGAGGTGAGTTTAATGTATTATAATCCCAGTGTTTCCTCTATGTTGATTTCATGCACGCCATGTTAATCCCCCACGGTAACAAAAGGGGCAGACGCACAATGAGTCCGTCCTTTTAAAACTACAAACCCCCCCTGGCTGCCGCCCACATTGCAGTTTAACAACAGTAGAACTATTCAGAGGTTATTGGGGCTGTCCAGAACTCCACATACTGTTGTGTTGATGGGCTTAATGTCAAAACGTTTGCTTTCCAAGTCATTAACCACCCCCCCCCCCCCCCCCCCCCCCCCGTTTGTTTTTTTTTTTTTTTTTTTTTTTTTTTTTTTTTTTTTTCTCCCTCCTTTTTTTTTTTTATTTTTTTTAAATTTTTTAAATTTTTATTTTTTTTTTTTTTTTGGTTGGGGGGTTTTTTTTTTTTTTTTTTTTATTTTTTTTTTGGGGGGGGGGGGGGGGGGGGGGGGGGGGGTTTTGGGGGGGCCCCCCCCCCCCTCAAAAAAAATCCTAGAGGAAACACTGAATATTTTACATAATCCCCCTTCTAATTAAACTCTAAATACAGTACACAGTGGTAGCAAGGGCCCTGCTTGAATCAACACAATGTGAACACTGACACTCAAAAGTACATTGGTTTGTTTCTGATCTCCAACTGCATTGTTTCTTGCAGCTCTGTCTGGATAAGCTGATGGAAAAGTGCAGCCCGTCCCTCGACACAATCAAAATGCAAGTGTATTTTGATATGAATTACACCTCCCGACGTAAGTGTCACTGTGTGAAAATACATTCTAATCCCCTCTGTTCCTAAAGTGAGGAATATACCGAACTCTCTTTAGGATGGAATCAAAACTGATTACCACAAATGTATTGTCATGTCAGAGGGCCTGGCTTGAGTTTAGGCCTGCAACTAACAACTGTTTTCATTCTTAATGATTGTTTGCAATCAATCTATCAATTACATGATCGATTAACAACTGTTTATTCTATAAAATAGTGAGAAATGCCCATGATAAATATGGAGGACTGAAAGTGCCACAATTAAATAAATAAATACACCATTAAATAATTACTTAAATGTGTCATTCATTAATTAAAATTGGAATTAAATACATAAATGTAACTGCACATCAAGCCAAGACAAATCAATTCCAGATAATGGATCGATGCAGAGCTAGTGAACACATTCCAATACACTGGGTGGCGCTATTGGACTACTTCTTCTAAATCTGCAGTCACTCTGTGGTCAATATCTTGGTCAGAAAGTGCGGAAATAACTCCAAGAACTTCAATAAGTTCCTCTGCTTTACTCGCTACATGCTCTGGGTCAGCAGCTCCTGCTTCCACATCCTCTGCTAAGTCTAAAAATAAAATAAAGTGTTTAACTTTGAAAACTAAAGTGTAGCAGCAGCTTGAGTTTCCCTTTTTCTTTGTTAACTGTTTCATATCTTGATAAACAGTCTCAACAAATTTTATAAATGAATATCAACACATCTTTACAATTGAACAGTTTCTCTTTCTTTCCCTTTTATATCTTTCTATACACTTTCTGTTGTTCAGTGAGAGAATTGAGCTCTAACCTCTCTCCCTCGTTGGGCAGTGAATGAATGGGTCAGGATCAGTGTTGGTCATC